AGTATTTTATTGACGGGATACAGTCAACGCATGTACATGCAAATGAAAGTCGCCTTGCGTTCTTCACATTTTAAAAGTTGGCTCCTAATTTTTCGGGTCGCCTGTGATTTGATTGGACGCTTGATCTTTTTTCAATGACTGACATTGAATGACGTACGAGGTGCAAGCGAATCTCAGAAAGGTATTTGTAGTAATAAAAGTTTTTATATAAGATTATTTTACCCTATATCCCTACCGTTTATACTTATAACAAGAACCGTCTTCTCGCTGGAACATTTCATCGTATTGATCTTCTCCTAGGACAGAAAGCCCAAGTATCCTTAAATCTTGCAAGCAGTCTCTCATTCGTTGTGGCATGGCAAAGTTCTTTGGATCCCAATCCAGCTTCTTCAATAGAACAAACCACTCATGGTTCGCACCCTTGATAACACCACGTAAGCCCAGTTTTGACAGTATCGCCATGAATGTACCAATAACCACACTGCAGTATATCCCTGTAATTTGTGTCCAGTTGTCGCAGAATTGCTGAAAATCGGGAACTGCTTACCCTTCATCTTGGTGTGTACAACTCTCCGTCATAAAACCATCTGGTACTGAAAGTGTAGTCTTGCTCCGTTAATAAAAAGTACGTGGCATAATAGTCTCCATTTCATGTTCCACAGGATAGATTTGACTTGACTGAGAAAAAAGCCCGAATCTTGCGGCCGTTGTCGAGTTGAATAACATGGGGGTGCAACCATCCTCACATTCACCTTTCTCACAAAAAAGCGAGATCCATTGGCTTCTCCATTCGGACATTCGTGTTCTCTGTAAACATTACAGGACACCCCTTATATAACTTCAAAGCAGGATCAACAGTTTTCGTGAGTCCGAACGGGTTTAACGAGTCTTCTCACATGTTGAAAAGAAGTGCTTTAAACCGAATTGCTCTTAACAGAACCATTGTCCCTGCTTGATTGGCCATTTAAGATCGTCCATGAAAATGAGTACTGCATCATCAGCACGGAATCATCAGCAGGTTTGTTCTTCCCGCAAAATTCTTCGAAGATGCTGAGTTAATGGCATCTCGATCTCGATTCAGATAAAGTAGCAACTTGAATGTTCTCTGGTGGAACATGGGTTGGGCCAACCACCAGGCGTCATTGATGGTCTCATTATCTTCTTCTGTTGGTCGCCCTTCACGGAATCTTAAACAGCGTTGCCCCCATTCAGGATCGTCTTTGAGCGGTGCATTCCATCTACTCAATAAATGAATTCAGAGAGTCATGAAATTCAAGGAATGGTGTGCTGAAGATTGTAAATTGGGGGGCGTCCCACTGGTTCAAGTTGAGAGTAGTCCCCGCGAACACCAAGTTAAGTCCCCAAATGGTTGGTATTCGTCTTGCATCAAGGTCTGGTGTAGTGGAATATCTTCACAGTCGAATACGTAGACTTCTACAGGGCCTTCTAAGTAATGCGCGCCGGGTATAATTCAAACCTCTGCCCCCATCGGTACCATTACCCCTAAAGCAAATCGTCTCCAGGAGACGAAATAAGGGTAAAAAGTACTCCGATCTGCTCAGCAGCGAAACTTCAAACTTGCTTCTAAAGTTCCACAGCTGTTCCAGGTTCCAGAGCATGTTCGAGTCACATACAGTATTGTCACATGCCGTCGGTCATCCATGAACCATGATGTACAGGGAAGAGGGGAAAAGAGACGATGGTGCTCCAGACTCCAGACCAACACCGCATTGGACATGATTTGGACATCGTTGACCATAAAAGTCCCACTTTCAAGATAAACCGTCACTTTGACCACAGTTGACCATGGTCACACGTGGTCAAGTGTGGTCGCTCGTGGTCAAGGGTGGTCGCTCGTGGTCAAATGTGGTCCCCCGTGGTCAAGCGTGGTCACTGGTGGTCTTTTACTAGGTAATTACTAGGGTAATTGTGGTCAACCGTGGTCAGCCGTGGTCAACCGTGGTCAATCATGGTCAACCATGGTCAATCAATGAATAGGGCAAATTTCTCCTGGTAAACTTTGACCATGCTTGACCTCTCTAGACTATTAATAGCCCCTATTAGCCATTTCCGTGACCACCCGCCAAAGAGCCATTTTCCCTCTTCCCAGTACGACTGTGCAACGTAGGTTTCCAGCTCATTCCATGCATAGAACGTCTAGAACGTAACAGGCAAAGCAGGCCAGAAGCTGTACCTACCAAAACTCGAGAACCCGAGGCCATGAGAAGGCTGGTGGCTGGTGGTCGAGCGAAGGCTGCGAAAATAGCGAAGCTGACAAAATCGCTGAGTAAGACAGACAGAACCTCCTCAAAGAGGTTTCGAGTTTCGAAGTCCTTGCTAGCTAGCTAGCTACTGTACCGTGGCTTGGAGCCTGGGCTTGGAGACTACTCAGTACACTAATGTAGCTGTACCTCGAGCTCGTACCGTGCCTTCCACCTTCCACAGCTCTTCTATTAAGAGATACACTCTTCACTCTTCTACCTTCTACCCGGCTCAATCTTGTCAAAAACAATATTGGTTCAAATGGGGAATGAAATAACTATGAGTTTGAAGTTGGGTTTACCTTTTAATTCAATAGGGGAATGTCTGGTCCCGAAAGCAAGGAAAGAATGTTGTGCTGTTCCCCCCATGGAGCTTACGGATTTAAAGAAATGTAAGAAAACATGTTTGAAGCAAGCGTGCTGCATCTTGAAAGGAAATTGAGCCTTCAACATGTGTTTCGGCCGAACTTTCGGAGCAGTCGAACAATTAACGTACAATCCCGCAGGTGACCTCAAAACTCCCTATATAGACTAAACTTTGGAAAGCTTTGTTGCCCCGGTACTGAGACCCATTAAGTAGTCTGGGCTACCTTACCCGTTTTTCACTTTTGTCGGCCGACTTTTTTGCTATTCTTTGGGATTCCTTAGGCTCTACCGGTACTGTACTGTAAGCTTGGGTGGCAGTGTTGGTTGGTCATCGCCATCAACGCTTGTGCTCTTCCCCTTTCGGTAATGCTGATGGGTGCTACCGTATCCAGCTATCTGGATGGGTAGCAAGAGATGGAGCTAGATGTGTGTTGAGGCTTCGTATGTTTGTTTGATTGATTCTAATAGGGATATTTTAATTAGACAGGTAGATAACTATATAAGGAATATGGACGGAAGGAGGTTGTTTACAGCTCCAAAAGAGGAACTGGGGCGAGGTCGTCGACATCATAGAACGATGCGCTTCCAGAACTGATACTGGAATCCTCTTCATCAATGACAAAGTTCAACTGTTGTTGTTGTTGTTGGGTGATCTGTTGCATTGATGGGAATTGGAAATGATTTTGTTGTTGCAGCTGTTGAGTCATGAAGTTGGGGAGACTGGCCAACTGCTGGATACGAGGAAGACTGCTGATGGCGGAAGAAGTGGCCAGAGGAAAGTTGGAAAGATTTCCGGACATTTGGAGGGCTTGAAGTCCGGTAAACTGGATAGGAGGAAGGCTGGCGACTGGTTCTGGCATGGTGGTAGCTTCCATGGGTTGCTTCTTGGTTTCTTCGCGCTTGGTCTTGCGCCTGGCGATTTTGTTCTTGGCAGAACTGGCATACTTGTTGCTGAGGCAGTCGCGGAAGTAGCTGCCGACCTTTTCTCGGGAAGTGCGTTCGGAGACTTGCCACCATCGTCCCTTTTCCATGGCAATGAATGCTCCAACGGGGCAGGCGTCGCGGATCATGTTCATGACTTTGCTGACAATGTAACCCTTTTCCAGCTTGCCGTCGGCCTTGCTGTACTGGGGAATAAACGACTTGACGAGGACACGGAGCTTCATGTTTCCTGGACTGTTGAAGTACTTGCGCTTGTTGCCGCAGATAATGCTGTGTTCGCTGGGCTCAAAGTCAATGGGCAAGAGGATCTTGGTCTTGTCGATGCACTTGGGGACATTGGTGCGACGCTTTGGCTGGCTGTTGCTGGAGCTCGCAGTGGCGGTGGTAGTGGCGGTTGCGGTGCTGCTGGTGCTGGTGTTATCGTGGACCATTTTGTCGTCGGAGATTCCAGAGGCGAACGACTGGATTGGGAGTTGGGAGGCGCAAAACATTTCAAAGAGTTCAGAATTCATTTTGTTGTTGTGAGATTGTGAATTTTGTGAGTTGGTCTTTTGGATTTGCTCGAGTTTGAAATTGTGAGATCTTCCTCCCCATCTCGTCCGCTCTTCTTCTGGATCTCTTGGATCGATCTGCTGTTCCATCGATCCGATCCTCTTCGGGAATGGCCTTTGCGTGGATTAGGTACCAGGTCGTACGGTACCAACCTGAAAAACAGTACCAGTTGGCACAGTCAACCCACCTTGGCATCTCTGCGATGCCAACACCGGTTATTCAAGTGAAGGTAGGGGGTTAAGTAGGCGGAGACATTGGAGGAGATGGTGAGCTATGGCGATTACAGAAATGGTGATCTTAAGGTTTAAGTACTTCGCTTCCTCGTAAACCTTTGGAGGAAACATTGATTACCCAGCCTTTGAAATTCATTTTTCTTGTATATCTAACATTTTTGCATGGCATTTATCAGCAATCTCATGATTCAGGGGCATGGAGTAAATCAACGAAAGAAACTCCAGCCAGCGAGAACCCTTTTTGAGTTCTTCGTCGAAGCTGAGATGGAAAGCATCCTGCTGGCTCCTGGTTAGGGGTTATGTGTTATGTACTGCGGATTACAGACTTGGGGCCCCGAGAGTTGCCTTTTAGTTCTCTACTTCGAGTGGATCAGTACTTTCGATGAAAACATTGGCAACCAAAACAGCTAAAATCTTTTCCTCCACTGGCTCTTCCTCCATCACTTAAGATTCTAAGACCCTTCAAAACTTCATGTCATCTAGAGAAATTTCTAAACTGCATAGAGTTTTTGGTTGTACGTAGCTTTTACGTAGAGTTTTCTACTGCATTTTCTGAAGGCAAAACTATAATTAGAGCAACGAGTGCCACGAGATTTGGAACAGTTCACCTTGATGCCCTTTAAATGGCTAACCAGCAACAAAAATCTCACAAACCACAAACCAGAGCAGCCCAGAGCTAACCAGCAAGCTACGTATCTTGTTCCCACCCCTTGAAAAACTAAAATTTGAAACTCGGGATCAACAGCACCATGTGGCAACAAGAAAGCAAAACATTTTGGTTGCGAGAAGCAGAAATCAAAGAATTTGCCCTGGACTGAACCTGTACTTGTTGTGTTGTACCGTAGTTGTACAGGTTCAAGGTGACGTTATGAGAGTACAGCTATCATCTATCTACTGAATGAGCATCCACCACACGTTCAAGTAAGTGGTGGCCAAGAAGCACAATCTTCTCTTTTTTTAAAGAATCCTTAATCTGCCCTTGCCTGGGTCTTCCAATGCGGCTACCAAGATCTCTGAGAAGAGATCGATATCGGGAACAGTCATTGCTCTGGCGGGTTGAAATCCTCTTCGCACGATTGTGCTGGAGGCTTTGGATTGTCTCAACAACTGGGAAATGCTACCTTGCCAACACGAGTTGCACTATAAAGAAGTGCGATGGTACATGTAACTGTGACCAGTGCCATCAAGATTTTCATGTTGTTTCCCACTGGGACTGGGAATTGGAAGGTCCCAGTCTATGGCTACTCAGTGATGACTCCGTAGTTTTTCCATTGGAGGTGTCACTCATGGTGTCTAACCGTTGCCTCCCGAACAACTCTTGTTCTTCGCTCCAGGGTGCCAAGCTCTCTTTCATGAGATCCCCAAACTCTCCCGCTGTGCGGGTGTGAAGCTGTGCCAGTTGCGCTGGGTGGGTCAGGTGAGTGTTGACGGATGCGCCCCTCAATCGCCCTTCGTCCTTGCCGGCCAATGGCTGCTTCCACGAGTGGTGCGAGCTGCTGGTATAGGAAGTAGGAAGGATGGCCCTTAGTTTCCTCACTGTCACAATGACTCTTTATCTTCCCCAACCAAGACCTGGCTACATACCGTGCGAGTCCGTTTGAAAGGCACCGCTCCTGGTTTCACACAAAGACCCACTCCTGGCATGGGGACGGGGGTACGGTAGGGTTTCCCTAAGGTCTACCGCTGGACCTACTCCAGGACGCACACCAGGACCTACCACTGGTACATCTCCCCACTCCAGGCCCATCGCAGAAGAAACCTTGCACCTCTCGCGGGCCTCAATTCCGCCCTGGACCTACCGGTACGGGTAGTCCAGATCCCGCCCCTATCATTTCGAAAAGCCGATGACACCAGCCGGTTCGTCCTTTTCGTGCCATCCTAATACGGTAGCAACAACCCTTGCGTTGTTGCCGGGGCCGATCGTGTTCATGTTCAGAAAGTATGCTGCGCTGACACCTTCCCCCTCGATGAGTATTTGGCTTCCTGTCTTTCGTTGGCTGCCCGCATACCGGTAGTGCCGGGATCTTGTGTCTTGATCTGATCGAACACCTGGCTTGCCAGGTCGGAGACTGCTCAGGGCACTCCTCGGCTGTTGCTTTGTTTCCAATTTGCCACCATTTCCGTAGGCGTCCGTTCCGTAGGCAGCTCCATTTCGAGTTCAAAGGAATGTGGCATTGGGCTTTTCGTTTCGTACTGCACTGTGTAGTAGTGATCATTCTGGCTAGTTCACGGAGCTATGTTTCTGGTGAAGAAACCGCTTTTGAAGCGTCGTGATCGTTCTTCTGGATTGTTCCTTTTTTCTGGCCACTTTTGTGCTGAATGATCTTTGGATGAATGATTCAATCGATGCGAGAATCACTTTCTTGAAGATTCTGCGAAGGTTGAATCACTCCGAGTGACCCATACCAGTTCTTGGCTACTGCTGTAGGGCGTCGCTGAGGTGAGCGATTAGATTGCGGATATTCGTTGTGCAGCAGTGGCAGCGCGGTACCGGTATGGTCAATGCTACTGGCTGGCCGGATACCGGAACTGAGCTGAAACGAGTGCCGGTATTCGGAAAATGCTTCAAGCTGACTAGCTAGGCCCAGGAGCCAAAAGGATAGAGCCCAAGAAGCATATCTCTTTTGAGTGAAACTTTGTACTATAGTTTGCTTGCTTTCTATATCTATGTGTGGGAGTGCACTGTGCTTGCGTACTGGGCGTCAATTCCTGTCTGTTGTCAATGGTTTGCTCGCTGGCTAGCTTGACCATTCCTCTGTACATGTCAGTCATTTTGAGAATTGAATTGCGACGACGCACTGTTCGCCACTACTGATAGTTTCATCTCTTCGCTTTCTCAAGCAAATGCTGCTCGACTTGGGGTTGTGTTTCTGGTTGAAAATTGACAAACTCGTCTTCTCGTCGCCAGGGAAAACCTTGAGAAAAGGCAGCAATCTCTCAACGCTTGCAGCATCAACTTTCCCATTGAAGAAACCAAGGCTTCCTATGACGCTGAATGCGACAACAGCTGCCGACCCCAAGAGTACCAACAACAGGCACTGGAAGGACAAGACGCGTGATCGAACGGGTCTTTTCATTGCTGCCTTTTCTTTGACGAATGCGCCTGTTGCGATATTCACTGTTGCCGGGGGTCTCACCTTTGGCTTGATGTCGGTTTCAGCATCTAGTACAAGATTAGAGTGTCGACTGTTGATGGCACGTGTAGCAGTAGCATCAGAGTCATCCAATCCAGACAAGCCCCTTGTTTGGAATGAATAATCCAATTGGATATCCCATGGTAAACCACTTTGTTGACTCCCACTTATGGACATGTCCAAGTCGCTGACTGTTGCAAACGACATGATGCTTCCGCGTCGACTGAAGGATACCGTACTATCACTGAAAAAGTCTCCCTGCCCAATTGTAGAACGCCGTTTGCAAGGGCCCTGATTGCTGCGGGCTTTTCGCAAACGGTGGGTGACATCATGGCGAATGTTCTCCAACTGTTGGTGGTTCTCCAAAGTGAAAACCACCGATTTGGAGGTGTCTTCCATTGAAATCAATTTCAGCTGCGCCTTCTTGGTCCTCTTGGCAGTGACCTGGTGCTTTTGGATTGCCGACCATTTCCAAGAATCGTATCGTCCATCAGTCCCCTCGTCTGGCTTGAATGCAATCTTCTCAGAAGTCAATCGAAGCTTTCCTGGCTTGTCTCTGAACCTCACGTTTGTGTAGATTGTCGTATGATCCATATTCCAGGAGACCTGCGTGTAGCTAGGTCTTTCAATTCAATTCGAAGCCCAACACATACGATATCATCAGTTGCTGAGTATCTAGCTAGTAGTGGCCAACCCAATACCAGTAATAAACAAATATATGACAACAATTGCCAGGATGATTCAGACGAAAAAAGTAGGGATTGTCGTTGGTTGGTTTTTGTGATCGGCGAGTTCTTGAAAGATGGCGCGGTGTTACGGTACTGTTCGGCCCGTGGGTTGGGGTTAAAAGTAGTTCGGTAGACCTCGAGGATTTAATGGAGTGGTGCTGTGACATCAACCCTAATTACCAAGAAGCGGGGCCGAAGAAGCAAACTCAGCCCTCACAAATTTGGTCGAGATGAGAGCACCTCGAGGGGAAAAAACAGATGACAGTGAACGGATGAGCTACGGATGTGAGTTGTTTTGTGTGATGCTACCACAGCCAACTGCTCTCTTGCAATAATGGCAAAGACATAGAACAACCCGCGTGATGCAATATGAAGGAAAGACACCAAACCAGAAGCAGCGGAGAAGCGAGTATGGTCGGCAACAGTGGCATGCTTCGTTCAACTGATCTCAATGCATGCGCACGCGAATATAAAAATCTTGAACACACGAGTACGGAGCGGGAAAAGATGCCAGGAATCCAAATCGTCGTTGGGTTTCTCGGCCTCTCATCTCCAGACCTTTCTGCCTCCAACCCCCTCCAACATTGGTATCTGGCTAGTAGACTAGTAGACAGCTTCCGCCTGAACAAAAAGAAAAGACGTTCTCCGCTGTGCCACCCTTCATCTATCTCATGACTTGCCCCAATTCGAGCTTGTTCATATAGTATATAGTATACAAACATGGCAGCTACGCAGCAGATCTTTAGGCAGCTGCTTAATCTGTGCGCGAGCGAGAACTATCCCCGGAGTGGACTGGCAGAGCTTTGTTTCCCCAACTATGAATCGGATCAGCACGATGAAGATAACCAGGCTCTCTCCTGGATCCCACGTGTTCAGATTGTCGACGAGCCTAACCACAAGAATAGCAGCAAGTTTCTCTTGGATGCTGCTCAAATGCATCAGATTGCCTGTTCTGTGCTGCCCAAGGAACTTGCCTTTCATCGATGGAAACGGGTGTTCAGCCTGGCACGAGATGGGCCGTCTTTCTACGACTTTATATACAGGATTCGCGAAAACCGGCAAACACTCCTAATCGTGAAGACCACTCGAGGCGAACTGTTTGGTGGCTTCTCGGACTCTCCCTGGGAGATGGACAACCAATACTTTCATGGCGGAGAACAATCTAAATTGTTCACTTTTGTCAAACGATCGAGGCGAGGAGCAAGCGGCAGCAGTGATGACAGTGACAATGTTGTCAATCGAGATAGTTGCCGTTCTCTTGAACGCTACGATTCCCGTGACGATGACCACTATGACCAAAAATCGGAGAAGAAAGAATCGTTGACTGTCTACCCATGGTCAGGTCTGAACCGGCATGTGCAGTACTGCGATCCTGGCAGAACCCTGATTGCATTTGGTGGCGGTGGAGCTCGTTTTGGCTTGTCTATTGAACAAAGCTTTCGATTTGGTAGTACCGGACCCTGTGAAACATTTGGGAATGAAAAACTTGGAACTGACGAAAATTTTCGAGTGTCGGACGTGGAAGTTTGGGGCTTTGTGGACGTCGAGGAGACCTGCTGTTCTTCCTTACTTTGCTTCCAACCACTGGCTCCCGCTGAGGAAGACGTCAATTTTATCCCATCAGTACGGGTGGACCGAGTGGACCCCCAGCCGGAAACCTTTATCTTGGATCAGCAGAAAATGGATCAAATTGCTCGTTTTGTTCTTCCGCGGACGATTGCATCGTGCCGATGGAAACGCGTGTACAGTCTTTCTCGGGACGGCGACGCATTCGAAGTCTGCTTGCATCTTGTACGAAAAGAACAACGATCACTGATGGTCATTCGTACAGAAGACAACCAGATATTTGGTGGCTATGCTGATTCACCCTGGAGCCCATCCAATTCCAACTACTACGGAAGTGCCCAGGCTTGTTTGTGGACGTTTGCCAACACGAGGAACGGAGCAGTCAGACGAGATAGCGGGACAGGGGCACCCATACCCCCGAACCAAGTCAAAGTATACAAGTGGACCGGCACTAACCGCTACATCCAATTCTGTGATGTGACACATAGAATTCTTGCCTTTGGCGGGGGTGGCGACGCTGGTAGCTTTGGTCTGTGTGTTGAGAAAGATTTCGAAAATGGAAGCAGTGGTCCTTGTGCAACCTTTGGAAACCAACCTCTCTGTGACAAAGAACTCTTCAAGATTGTAGACCTGGAAATCTGGGGCTTTGCAACTGGCAAGTTTTAGAATGGTTGTCCGCCAGCCAACCAGACAAGAGACGAGCAGAGTACGTGGCACAAACGAGCAGCAAGGCTACCCTGCTTCGGCCTCCCTCTGGCTGGCTACATCACGTGCTTGCCAATCGAATGCTTATACGGTAAAAAGACGACAACCAATCTTGGCAAAAGCAACCAGCACTTCTATTGGTTCCAGATGCGAGCCGCGTAAATGGTGATTTGGACTCGACTCGACTCGTTGAAATCAGCAGTGAAGGTGCTTTAGAATGCAACAAACGCCTATCTTCATCCCTCTTCCCGTACAGTCCTCTTCCTTCTGCCCTCTGCATCGATCTCCACCAAATTACCTGACAAATAATGGATAGACACCACTACCAAGGCCAGTAACCGAAGGTCCCACCCAACAAGCCACAGTTCACTGGCTAGAGTAGATACAATTCTTTGCTACATAAATTGTTCATTACTATATAGATATGCGATTTGTTTCCACGCTTTCTGTATCCATCCACTGTGTCGGGTACTGGTACCTGTACCTGTACCTGGTACTTGTACCAGCCCATTGCATTGCATTGCATTGCTGAATGCTTACTATTAGAGTGCTGACTTGCTAGCCGATTCCTACAATAAAATTAAAAAAAATATTATGGAAGTTTTGTATTGCTTGATTTCCTGTGTGTGGGGGGCTTCCACAAAAAGGGGCCTGTGTGAGTTGTAACAAGGGGGGGTCAGCCGCCGACTGTTCTCTACTAGTAGAGCTGTTAACTTGCCCATGTACATGGCAGCAGACTGACTTATCGAGAAGATGGAAACGAACGCTTTTCATTTTGTTTCTTCTTGCCATCTTGCTAGCTTGTTCTTCGCCCTACAGCGTACGGAATGGCAGGCAATCTTGATGCTATTGATTCCATTCGAAGCTACACCGAAGAGAAAACGATGCTACACTATTTGGTAGATTGGATTGAGAGCTCGAGCTAGCTATAGTGCGTGCCGGAAGGGTAGCACGAGCAATTGGATGCAGTTTGTTGCCCCATAGTCTTTGAGCGTCGGTACCCTACAGCAATGAAGGGCCCCAAGGCACTGTTTTCCCAAGCCATTGCCGACGCTGTGTCTGAATACTTTATTGTGGACGATCCCGCTAGAATTGAAAGCCAATTGTCGGGCGACGCCGAAATTTTGTTGCGTGACGTTTTACTCAAACCGCAAACCTTTTCAGTTTCGAGTTCCACCACTGCCATTCTTACTGGGTCGGTCTCTCGTGTTTTCTTTCGTTGGCATTGGGGCAAAGACGATGAAGTTGAAGGATCCAGTGACTGGATTCGCAATGCCAACTTGGCGATGGAAGGATCCAGATATTTGGTACAGCTAGAGAAAAACTACTCAAATACCAGTAGTGGCAGTACTAATCCAGCAGCCGCCAACAAGGATGCAACCGAAGCAAGCATGACGGGTGGAATCAGGGGGTATATCAACGATCAACTTCAACGAGTGCTGGATACCCTCGCTTTGTCCATTCAAGATTTTGAGCTTCGAATCCAGCTCCCCAATGACAATGACAATGACAATGACAATGACAATGACAAGAACAATATTATCAGCGAGAGTTCTGCTGAGAGAGCAGTTCTCGTCATGGGAGGATCTGGAGTAACAATTCAATCCTACGGGAAATCTGAAACCATACCCTTGAGGCAAGACATGACTATATCCAACGTAATTTGGTTTATCCTGTCTAAGGAGGGACAAATGTATCCCCTCTTGTCACCAGGGGTATCATACAAAGCAACAATTATCCGTGCCGTGGGTTTTGATGGTCTGGTCTCGGGCATGGACAAAGGATATCGTGTCTTGGGCGAGTGCCTCGAACATGAACATGGCAACGACAAAGGTTTTGTGTTTCACGCAGATATCGCGCAAATGGAATTCTTGTTGGAATTGATGGATCTGGTGATGGAAGATGCCGACGACCATGCTGACGTTGATATTATGAAGAACGTCGCTACGCAATCGCCCACCAAAGGCAATGACAAGATTTCGTCAGGCGATGACACAACCATAAGGTCGGACACCACTACGAACAGCCAAGCCTCCTCCTTTATTCAGCTGCCCCTTTCGCCCGTGTCGCTGATCTTACCCAATGATACCAAGCTATCCTTTAAAGGGATGGTTTGTAAGTATCGAATGGATGGGACGCTGATGGCAGTGGAAGGCAGGACCAGCTTTCTTGTCAATGATTTTCAATTCTTATCGTTGGGAGAAACCTGTATCTGGCAGTTGGACCTGGTTCGTCGCCGCATGGTGGTTACCGATATGGCAGCTACTCGGTTTCACAAACACGATGAGTTGGTGGCATTCCTTCATGGTAGACCCCTGGAACTTGATCTGATCAAGGAGGGGTTAGTCCAGATGGTGCAGACCTATCAGAAGTTCTACTCGGACAAAAGTACATGTAGTGAAGCTGCTAGTGTCGGTGCCAGGGCAGATGGCGTTAGTGACAACGACTATGGACCTGTGACCGAAACAAACAACAGCGCTTGCTGGACTTTGCATCTAAGAGGAGTGCTTGGAGTCTTATGGGAAGGCGAAGGCGGTGACGTTAGCGGAGAGTGCAGAATACGTGGGGTTACAGCCAGCTCTCTAATGACAGTTGACATTCTCGCTGTGGATAGCCTGTTCATTCCAGGTCTGGTCAGCCTGAAAGAACCTATCATGAACATTGAATTGACATTCGATGGGTCCGTCTTGGATGTAAAATCGGCGGGCATTGTGGCCACACTGGAAGATATACCAGAATCGAAATCTGATCTGGAAAAGTTGGGACGAAGCGTCGCCTCGTCGCTGAGGAACAGTATTCTGGCAAATGAGCTACCCATAACACAGCAAGTGCAAGAGTCAAAGAGGTGTTCAAACATCTCCGTTGCAACTGACCACGATGACTCAGCTCCTGTCTACGTCATGCCGTTTGGGATGAGAGCAACAATCGAGAAAGTAGTACTGCACGAGCCACTCGGCAAAGCAGCAGCTGCGAGCTTTCACTTTGTTCAACTTGCACTGGGCCCCGACGATATTTCGACGGATATGACACAACCAGCCATTAGAGGAGCAATCAAGATACATGAGATCAGTCACTACCTTGTGGGTGCATCGGAATTGAAGGTGGCTGGCGTTGTGAAAACAAGTGACTTTGGCACCATCCATAACTACAGGTCCTCGACAAAGAGTGTCTCACTTGCAGCCGGCTACAGTGCGTTTGACTGGGAACGTTTGATCAATGGATTTGGTAAACGGTCCAGACGAAAGGCGCAGAGGCCGAGGAAGAAGAACGCCAAAAAGAAATCGCAGGATCACGGAGAGCCTATCCGGCTGCCTTTCGCCCGTATGGACAAGGTGAAAGTCAAGATTGTTGTGACTAGTGATCTTGTTGGAGTAAACCCCTCAACGATTCATATAGGAAGTTTTAAAGGAAAAAAGGACACGACATTGGACGATGTTTTGCAAACATACATCCAACGTGTGTTGACAAAGACTCCAACACTCATCACGAACCTTGATGTTCTGGGAATCAATCTCACAGAGGGCACGTCGTCCTACTTTGGTTCATTGATTGGTGTGGCAGTCTTCACCTCTCTTGGAGCTTTATCTTTGCCAATTGGTGGCATCCTGGGAGTGGCGAGCTTGGACGGCGTGAAAGCTACCATCATTGAGGGCAAAAAGTGCCGAGGAGCCGATGAAGACGACAAGACCAAGCTGTTTGACTTTACGAGAGGAGTAGTGCGCATCGCGAACGAGAATGCAAGGAAAGGCGCGGAGAGGCGTGGAAAGTCAAGAGACGAGGTTCACGACCCGCTAGACTGGGCACTTGGAGCCACGGCCGATGTTTCGACATACGCGAAACGGAACAAACGGAAGCTTGGAGCTGCCAGTGTGGGCACTGTGGGCTTCGCCATCGGAATGGTTATTGGGGGCCCCGTAGTTGCAATGCTTGGAGGTCTCGTCTGCTGGGCGGCAACCGACAGATCTATAGCCAAGATGGAAGAACGCGCCAAAAAGCGGAAGGAAATGCGAAGAGCTGCCGTCGACGTCATTTCTGAATCCTTTGAGCAGACTTTACAAAGGGATCAGGCATTACAGGGCGATGATGCTACGGCAGATGGGATGCAGGGAAAGGCTGGCTCTGACAAGAAACGGAGGTCAACACCATCCGAAGCACCAGTTCTGACTGGACTTCTCTGGAAACGACGAGACTTCTTCAAGTGGGATTGGCAAGTGCTTTACTTCACCATACGTGACAACAAACTGGGTTATTATCAGACTTCGGAGAGACCAATGCGTGGCAAGCAAAAGGTGGTGAATGATATCAGTGCAACGGCTTTCGCGGATTTGGACGGAGGCGTGGTAAAGTCTCTCGATCTATTGAACCTCAGAAGCGAGGCCGACAGCGAGCTTTCCCAGCCGGAGTTTGACCTGTACGCTTTTACCATAAGCAAAAGTCAGCAAAGAGAACCATTATGGGTCCTTGCCGCAAGAACTCAGGAGGGTAGAGATCTATGGTTGAGTAAGCTCAGAGACGCAAACGCAGGCTTGAAGGAGAATTCGTCTGCTGTGGACTCGGAACCAGAGGGAGAAGAATCTCCCAATGCATACTGTTGCCAAGCCTTGCTTTTTCCGGGCTAGCAGTCACCACCCAGAGTAATTATTGCACTCTCATGCTGTTCTACGGTTATGGCTCACTCTCCAAAAATCCGCCGCATGGACACTTCCCACAGTGTTTGTCCTGCAAGAGAGAAAAGTGGGACTGCAGCTATGTGGGGCTGGTACCAGGTACGACGAGGTACCGTGCCAGATGAAGATGGAAACAACAGGAATCAAACATAGATGAACGCAGTAGGAATCTCGGGGGGGCTTCCAAACAAAGCCCAAACTGTTGAAAGAGGATTTTGCAGCAGGCATCGAATCAACGATAGATGAACGCAGCAAGTTGCCCGGGGGTCTTCCAAACAAAGTCCAAACTGTTGCCTGTTTTCGGAGCCCTGCTCAGCAACAACTTTGCCGGCTACTAAGTGCAAAAAAGGTACAGTACTGCAGTATTATTCGAGTGAGTCGAATCGTGCATCTGCCAGGATACGGCAAATCTGCCATGGCAAATTCGGTCACTGCCAAGCACAAGCAACTCCCTCCGCCACGGTATGGATTAATAGGGCTGTCCTTTCCTTACAAGCAGCACCAGAACCAATAGCCAATAGTAGAACAGATACGGTAGTCGTTTCTTCTAAGTTCAATTTGTTTCTTAGTTGAGTTGACAATTGGCTTAGCGACGAGAATTGAAGATTTCGAAGATCTTTCTTTTGTACCGTATGTACAATCAAGGAATAGACTCGGAAGAGAGTACTTGGTTGGACCATGATGACACCAAGTCGAAATCATTCCCAGCTTGCGCTGAGGCGGTTCTTTCAATCCTACGATAGCCTGCAGCGAGAAGCTTCGACGCTAGATGCGGATCGACAATCCCTTCAAGCAGCACAAAGCTCCTACAAAGGCGTGGCCGAGGCGATGGAGCAAAGCAAAGCTGCCGTTGAGAAGAACATTGCTTTCATCACGGAACAGAAAGATCGTATCGAGCTGGTTTCCAGTCACTGGTTCTTCGGCACAACTTTGTATCAACCACAGTTGTGGTTGCGCGGTGGATGCCAAGGAAAGATAGACCGGGCGAAAGAGAAACTGGAAACTGCAGAGAAGCAGCATCCTATTCTAGAGGAAACGCTACGAGTTCAGCATGAAAAGGAAACGGCCGCCAACGAAATGCTGCGACAAAAAGAAGCCGCATTTGGAAGGGCAGCGGATGCTGACAAAGAAGCCAAGCGGATGAAAGAAGACATGGCGATTCAACACCCCACATACGCCCTCAATAGCCTGGTACAAGATGAAGCAACATTGAAGAAGAAGATTGAAGAACACCACCAAAGAAAGAACCACATAGAAAACACTAGATTGTCGCTAAACGACGCCACCCGATGTGCTACCAATGCAGAATCTCATGTCAAAGCGGCTGAGGACAAGCTTCGACAAATTGACGGACTCGCAACAGAAGGCCTCGCACTTTCTCTGCCCAGCGGCGGATCGACAACCACTACGAGTCTCGAAGATGGGGGGAAGGAAGTCATCAAAGAAGGAGCCTCCTCTAATCCATATCGAGACTACACGAGGTTTGATGATGCGGGCAACATTGTTATGACAAACCATCCGTGTCCAAGTGGCTGTGGATTTGTTGTTACATTCCATCCCACCCATTGTTGCGCCGCTTGTTCAAATCCAAACAATGGAGGCGGGTGTCATGGCAAACGGTGCGAAGGCATCCCTCTTGCCTCCCAGGAGGGTGCCACCGAACTCTGGAAAAAGTTTCAAAGGCAACGCCAAGCACACGAAAAGAAACTAGATCAGATGCGCCATCACGTTCAACGAGAGTTGCATGATGCAAACCGAGAACTACAAAAAGGGTTTGGCATATTTCGGAGAACATGCGCTAGTCTCAATGGTGGCTCAGTCGACGCAAACTCTTTGGCTTGGATGCCACCGGCAGGAAGTTGCTGCTCGGGTAGCTGCTCCTGTTGCCCCGTCTCTACTAGAGGGAGTCAGGTAAGAGCACAAGCTCACCAGCTCCAACTGGCCGTGAAGGACCAAGAGTTTGATTTGAGGCTGAAAAAACTGATAGAAGACCAGGAAGGGAAAAGATTAAATGAAGAGCTCAATACGAAGAAATCTCAGATTGCAGACGAGAAGGATGCCATCTTTGCCTCGCTGCGCATCTCCTCTGAAAATGATGGCGATTACGATGATGGCGACACGTTGGATGATAGCTGGGAACGGCCGCCGGCGATGTCACCACACTACAACATTCCAGTCAGTGCGATTCCGGCTACGGTCTTTGACAGACCTCCTCCGACAGCTCCTCGCCAACACATTCCGGTGGCCACAGCGTCTTTGATCAACAACATTTAATTTAGGAAAGATGTGGCTTTGGTTTTGGTTTCTATGTAAGGTAGGCGTACCGTACTGGTTAAAATAAATGACTCCTGGGCCGTACCGGTAGATGATCAATGAAATGTTCGGTGGCAAAGGTTCTGGCTCCTTTCGCAAGCTGGTTCCTCTAAGTGATTTGATAGAATGATTCGATTCAATCATTCAAGTTGCCGTTTAGTGTTAAGAACGAGCTTCATTGGTCGCTTTCAAACCCAACCAAGTTGCATCACGAAAGGAACTGGGCTCTTTGTATTCGCGTTTTCTCGTGGCAACACTATTTTTCACTACCTTGTATCTTCTAAATGGTGACTCGACGTTTTCCACTTGTTTTGGCCTTTGCCGTTGCTTGTCGACGGGCATGCTTTCTCGCGAGGACTGAAACCCTCTGCTTTGTCAAGTCGAACCAAGCGCTTTGGGGTTCATCGGCACGGATCGGAGTACTCCCTGTGAAAAGTTGATTTGTTGAGAATGTGCTTTGATCCACTCTGTTTGAAGCACGAGGAAGTGGTGTGCACGTCAACGGAGACGACGGTTGTCGAGTGGTTCTTGGGGATCGAACCACCACTTGCTTTGGGACTTGAGTGACTTGAGAACGCTGTGATGATAACTTTGCCACTGCCAACATTGTCGACGTTTGAGGGATACTAGCGACAACAACTGCACTATTCTTTGGCTTGGTCTTCTTCTTCTGCTTCTGCGTTCGTGTCGCCCTCGATACTTGTCGGAGCCGTTCCTTCTCGGGTTCGGGCATTTGGTCCAGAATAACTTTCTTGTACTCCGCTTTGCTTCTCGATCGAGACAGTCGGCGTTGATCCTTGAACTTTGTCATTTCACTTGATTGATCTGAATATTAGAGATGGTACTTTCAAAGATGGTATGGTACTGGGAGACGAGACAGTGTTGGTGTTTGGGGAGTTTGTTGTTTCGAAGGCGGCGTTTTGAGCAGTTGGAAGAAAGGAGAAAATGTGAGCGTCAACGGCCAAATGCTTTCGACCTGCGTGATTAGAAGTATCCACGACTGAAAACAAGACTGCTTCACTGAAACCACCACTCATCCCCAAAGCCCCAAAGTCGAGAAGGGAGGCTGTCTCCGCTCCTCCGAGATGGATCCAGTGACTCTATTCATACCAGTATTAGCTTACAGGATTTATGATACCCACTCAAGCCTCAATGCAGACAATGAAGACGCTGATTCAGAGAAACTGCGAATTAAAGGGGAGCGGCTCTTTAACTTACCTACGAGTACCAGGGAATTATTGACGATGGAACAAAGTAATAAGGAAACAATGTACTGGTAGGATTTAGGAGAACCACTAAAGCGTCAATGAAGACAATGAAGACAGCAATGATGTTAGTAAATTTGAAAATTTTAAGTGTGAGTTGCTTTCCATCCCATTAATCCACAAAGCTCTTCCTGAAATAGCTTATTATTACACTATTACCTTGGTATTAAGAGAATACGAAATAAGATGTCAAGTACTAAGATAGAGTACTAGTAGACACTCAGATCTGAACTAGCTAGATACTACATACCTGGTACATTACATGGGTGATGGATCCTGAGATATGAAGTTCAGTATGGATATTATTTGGGATACTGCTAAGATTCCCATGTACCAAAGCAGACATAGAGATATCTTAATATCAAGGAACTATTATTAGTGTACTGTTACCAGCTACCGTACATCAACGTCTACTCGTGGCTAGTTGAGCTGTTGTTGCATGACGCTGAGAGCACCTTCAACAATCAGAATTAATGGCATGTCACAGTGTCGAAAACCAGTACAGCAGAATCGCCTACAAAATGTGGGTACTGTGGCCCAGCATTGGAGTCATGACATAGAGCCAATGGGTTAGAAATACTCCAGTAGCAATTACAGATTACAGTACTGAGTACTCGAGTACTAGTAGCAAGTTACCAAGCGGGACGAGGGGCCACCTTATACATACTCTAGTACCATGGTAGCGGTAGGCAAAAAAACAGCATTACCGGTATCGGAACCATTACTCATACTAGCTTGTACTCGAGTACTCAGGAGGTACCGTACGTAGGTACCTACTAGAACTTGAGTACGATTATTTCCACCATGGTACCATTGATAGTACCGGTGGACTACTTGTACGTAGAAAATCAGAGCATCAATGATATGGAGGAAAATATTAGCTACCGGTACTGGCCTCGACTCGATCAAAACCCAACACCAAGGGCTTTGAAGACCTCTACATTGTAGAAGGCTAGCTGCTTGCTAGCTAGTAGTCTTCAAAGCTGGCTCGTTGCTCTGCTGTGTCATACGGTGCCGGTACGGTACCGTACCGGTACGGTAGCTTAGCTAGGCTGTGTGGGGGCAATTCGTTCGGCAGGACGCATTGCCCAGAAGCTGTGAGAGATGGCAGCTGGGAGCCAAGAACTAAACCGACTATCTCTGGCAACTGGCATGGCAACCAACGAAAGAGGGCACTACTAACCCCGAACACTCAAGGCGGAAAGCAGACGTTCCAGCACGAGGCGCACTTCGGCTAATATTTATTTTATTATAATTCTCTGAGCCTACCGTATGAACATACCGGTACCTACCGGTACATGTACCTGTTACCTGTTGTTTCTGTTCTGGCTACTGGATACTGGATACAGCTCTACTGCCAAACTTTTATCGATCAAAGCAACCAGGTCACACAGTGTTGCTGGTCCCTTTTCATGGGAACTGTATGCAATGAGGTCGTGTGTTTGGAATTAATGGCTTGTTTACGTAGCCACTGACCTTGTTCTTTTCATTGGCAAAGGAGTCTTTCTTTTTAAATCTCTCTAACATACAATCAGGCAATCAGGAACACATCATCGACTTTGTTGGATTTATTAATTTTGTCCACTGTCACGACCAAAGCCCCTGCAGCTAACAGCCACGAGCTGGCTGATACTCGAGTTACTATTAGCTCTATAGTAGTGTTGACAAGGACATACGGGTACCGGTAGGCGATTCAGATACTGCATGCCAAAGCAAAGGTTGCAACCTTAACCTGTGGTACCGGTACTGGCAGCTACTGAGTACTAGCTAGTACAGTGCTGGTACTGGTAGACTGGTAGCCAGGTCACGAGATTGATGGCTGCGACGTTTGGGCACGCTTATTATCGATGAAGTTTTTACCCTGCTCCAGAGCGATCTTTTCGACAAGGATCTTGTACTCCGTAACTGGGGTATTTATTCTCTTGCAAGGTGCCATGACAAAAAATGAAATGACGAGGGGGCAAGCTGTTCTCCTAAAAGCAGCTACCGGTACCGGGAGTAGACACTTCTGCTGAGAGGAGCAAGCTTCAGCCTGTTAAAGGATGCGGTGCTTTTACTCTCTAGGTATTGTGGGGGAAGCTTGAGCGACTGTGAAGCCTGTCATGATTAGTACTGCGAGCGACTCAACTCGAGGACTCTGGCTTTGTGGAGACAGTCGCCATGTATCAAGCAGGGTTTGTTACGTAACTAACAAGTAGAAACGTAAAGAGGATAGTAATGCAACGGCACTCCCAAGCAATGCTCAAAGACAATGTGGCTGGGTATGTCACGCACAGTGGCTGCTGATGATGTACCGTCAGGCTTGCAATCATTGGAGGCAGCCCCAAGAACCACTGATGCCAGCCTGCAAACAATGATGCATCTTGAGACAGAAGTGCAGCAATCCCTGGCCTGTTTGAGGAGTCGAGTCGATCCTAACTGTAGGGTGTAAATAGATGTACTAGCTAGTCTAGCTAGACTGATGACTCTAGCTTGAGGGTAAGACAGCATCGCAAATTGTCATGTCTGGTGAGTATTTCCAATGTTTACCTCGCCTACCTGAAATTAAGGATCGTGTAAGAGAACCAGAGAAGCTTTTGCGCTCCGATCAAGCCAGCTTCGAGTGACTTTGGTTGCGGACACCAGCACCTGCTCAAGGAACAAGAGCACGTACATCATAGCAGCACAGCATAGGAAATAGGAAGCAGCATCATCAGCGGTAAGCGTAACTACCACGAGGGTAGAGAAGGCCTCAATAATAGGAGTAACCAGTAATCTAATCAATAGCCGCGAAACCAAACAGAAACAGAAAGCTCAAATTGACGAGCAGCAGTTGCTGTCCTGCAAGATCTATCACTTTCAGGTCTAGAACAACAGGGCACACACCCCTCAAGAAACTTTTGTCGCCCAAACGACTGTAGGCCAGTCCATCACCCATCAGATCTCTCTACTAGGATAACGATACAACCAAAAGACAATTCGGATGGAAACAGCAACGCTACCCTCTGCTGTCCCTCTGACAAGGATAATGCAAGCCAACAGTCACCCCATGTGCGGTCAACAACAACAGCAACAACCAGGGGCAGCGGCCTCTGACGAAGACCCACTCGACTCGGAGAAGCTGTTGTTTTGGCAACTTGCCAAGAAGTTGTGCAGTCAACGCCGCAGAGCGGAACGTAGCGTAGTCAAGGCGTATCGACAACAGCAACATGACGAACAACACATCAACATCCCAGCCGAAATCATGGCCGGCGTGGGTAGCAGTGCCGCCAGTGCCCGTAGTGCTGGTGGTGGCAGCAGCAGTACCGATCAAGTCTGGCAGCAACAACAAAAGGATGCGGCATGGTTATTTGCACCCACGACCACGGAAGATGACCTGGTGCTGCTAGATGATCCCCTAGACTTCATGACGAAGGGCAAAACGAGTCAAGACGAAGATGATAACAGCGATGATGCCTCCTGTGTGTCGGATGTGACCAGAGAACTGCAAGACATTGACGCTCCAGCCTTGTACCCGTCCCTGGATGTTTTGGCGGAAGTTCCTGATATCGAAGTTAAAGAACACAAAGAAGGAAAGATTGAAGTGTCTTCGCATACCTTGTATCCATCCCTTGGCGTGCTGTTGGAAGAAGATTTTCCTGATATGATGAGCCTTTCGGTCACTGCCAGTAGCACTCGGGAAGAGACCACTGGCAGCAAGACTGGTGGACGAGGCAACTGGCGCTCACGATACCCAAGGAAAGTTCAGCAGCAAGAGGAGGACGAGTATGATCTCAGCAATCTCATGATGCCAGCAACTCCAAAGACAGACGAGTTTGACCTTGGCAATCTCATGATGCCAGAAACCCCACCCGAGAAGAAATCACATCCAACATTCGGTACTCCCAGCAACCGCGATATCAGCCTCATTCCAAAAGACAGCAACAGCACTAGACAAGGAGCATCCGAAGCTTCAGCAAAGTCGAAGCAAAAGAAGAAGAACGACGTGAGGAGACAACGTACTGGTGCTACATGTAGTACCAAGGGTAGCAGCAACTCACCCGATCGTGGCTTTGATCGAACGTCCACTCAGGGGTCGCCCAAGCAACCTCAGCGACGTTTGAGTCTCGACTCGCGGCGAAGCGGTAACCTTTTGATTAGTGAAAACGACGAAAAACACTCCAAGATGGATCTGCTTCGGCGAAACTTTGTTCATTTGGAGCGAGACATCTCCGCAGAATCTCCAGTCCAGCCTCAACGTCGACGCAGCATTGGATCTCTCTGCAGCAAGAGTCTGCTAGACATGGTAGCCCAGAAATATGAACAGAAGGAAGAGGAGGAGGAGTTGCTACCATGGCGAAGCACCAAAGCACCAGACAACCGTGATTTGCAACGCAATCGTTCGACAGCGTCGCCCATGCCACCACGTCGACGACGCAGTTTCGATTCTCAACAACTGCTTGACCTTGTTGGGCAAAGCGATGTGGGAAACAGAAACGCTTCGGTGGAAACAAACAATGACAGGAGCACACGCACTCCCACGTGGGAGGAACTGAGCTATGGAGGCACCGTCAATGGCAGTCGCTACGGTGGCAAAGGAGCCATGCAAGGACCATCTGTTGAAGAAAATCAGGCAACCTATCAAAACAGCAACCAGGTCCTTTCCCCAAGGGAACTTGGTTATTGCGAAGACGAGCAGCACCAGAGTAGCCCCCGCCTACCTGGCCGTCGAGCATCCTTCTCGTCGTTTATCGATGACAATTCCACCATTGCCACAGAGACGTTGGGTTTGTACAAAAGACGAAAGTCGATTGACTCGACCGTCGCTGAGCCCCTGTTTGCCGATAAAAGGCCGGACAGACAACCAGCTCGACCAAAGCGTCAAATGAGCATCAACTCCGCCATGCACAATTCGTCGCAGAGCAGCTTCTCTCGACTGTACAATTCGTCGCAGGGCAGCTTCTCTCGACTGCATAGTTTGGACGAATCCAACCAGTCGCCTTACGGCATGGCCGGTATGGCCGGGCGAGCCTTGATGAAGGGGACAAGAACACATTCAGGGAACCTCTTCGATGATGTCATCAAGGAAGAGTCTGGTCACCCCTCGTCTCATGGCGGAGTTGGAGGAGGAAGTGAATTCCCCGAGCGCAGCCAGCCTGTTGATACCAAAAACAGCAACCACCAGTATCACCAGCAGGGAGCATATTATACTGAGCACCATGGTAACTACAAACGACGTGCTACTCCAAGCCAGAATCCGCTGCCTCATGAAAACAACCATTGGAATCCAGTTCCAAGAAAGCAGGAGCAGCAACGGAATAGAACGGAGTTGCAAGTGGAGATTCAACCCGGGGTCTTTCAGCATTTGCGAGGCAGTGCTGAAACCCTCAGAGCAATCGAACAAAAGAAAATACAAAAAACCACTTGCATGTCCTGCACTGTGAAGCTCTTCTGCGTGCCGGATGCAGAATATGTCTTGTGTCCAGTCTGTAGAGTTGTCTCCCCGATTGCCACGAATTTTGGCAGTGGAGGGGGCGTCGGATTGGGAATCGAGTCTTCAGAGAAGCGATACAGACCGGGTGCTCAAGCATAGCCATTATAATTGGATAGAACTTGAAGAAGGCTAGCTATCGCTGAGTGTTTCGATGTGTTTTGTTCAGGGCAGATGTCTTTGATTACGGCAAGCTCCAGGAGTACGGTATACTCTAGCGAGCAACGTCCGCAGTAGGGTGACGTGAACATGTATGTTTAGAAACACCGTCTTTTGTTCTTTGTCGACCTGGGTCCACTGTTCGCAACCAGAGTAGAAAGCTCTCGTTTGGCGAAGAAAGCTTCCTGCTAGCGGCTAAACAAACAGAAGCTTTTGCCCTCTTCTGTCTTGTGGCTTGTCCTTGAGAAGGACGATGTTCCCAACTTGAACCAAAGCAAAGGATCTATCAACTCGCTCAACTCCCCTCAGAAGTCGCCTTGTAATCCTCATTTGAAACGATCTCCGGCATTCCTGACGAGTCTCTGCACTGTGTTGTACTGCGGCTGCAGCAGCTGAGTTTTACACTTCCATGTCGTCTCCTGCTGCTTCTGCTGCAGGAGGCTGCCACCAGGCGAGGACATATGTTTGCTGATTGTGATACCTCATCACTCAAGAAGGTGTAATTTTGAGCAGCATGCTCTCTCGGGCAGCCTCTGGGCGGGCTTCGTACATACCGGTACAGGTGCTCCATGATCGTCATCGAATGTCAGAACGTACTCTGAGTAGTGTACGTATTCAAAGTCTGACAGGGATCCAATCGGCCATCGGCCTCGTCCGCCGCCTTGAGCTCTTGGAGTGACAGTCAGCGCCATCGTCATGGGGATGCAGGAGTTCCCGGAAGGTGGCTCATTGAAATTGGCAGAGTTGAGAACTGGGATAGATGCGGCCACAGAAGAAGGAGCTGCCGAAGCAGTGGCGGCAACCTGGTTTTTGTGGTTGATGAGGATGCCATCGCTGATAGTTACAGGAATACATACATGTACGGTAGTGAGTGCAATAAGCCACCTTGCCCTTTCCCTCTTCTGTGCATTCGGAAAACTTTGAAGAGGCCTTTGAGCTGGGCTTCCGCTTGCTTTCGGAACGAACCGGTGTTTCGCCCAGCGGGTGTTTTTTTTAATAAGAACGACACAGTACGATGTAGACTAGCTTCGTCGGCTTATTGCTCCCTCATTTTTTCGACCTTCAAAGCATGAGCTCGAGACTCGAGATTCACTCTGGCGAATCGAATCTTCTTGTTGTGCTCATTGCTGCCTTTTTATCCGAGTACAACACGTCACCCATGGTTCCTGTCAGATACAACAACATGAGGAGTTCTTGCTTGCTTCTGTGCAAGCGAAGCTCGAATCTGGGTTCTGAGAGATGCCCCACAACTTTGGTTCTGGGTTTGCCCGCAGAACTCTTTTTTGATCATCCATGACAAAGACGGACAATTCTTTCTTCTACCAACCCGTCGTGGTGGGCTACGGTTCTATCCATGATAGCACCAGTATTAATGGCTCAACCGTTGAAGAGCTGATCTCACTGCCTCCCCTTGGAAGTACCAGCAACACTATAGCATCCACTGATTCCAACACTTCAATTGCCACACAAGAAAAACAATCTCATGCGCGCAATTCTACGGCTGCGGATCTCCGACTGTCTATGCTCTCCAACTTTTCGACTGCCTACAATGTAATCTCCATCAGTTTGGCATTGGATCTTCTATCGACACAACGTCACCTCTCTGTGGCGGACAAGTCGCTCTGCAGTTCGGCGCTTTTTGCTGGAATGATCGCAGGGCAGCTGGGTGGAGGCGCACTTGGTGACGTCTGTGGAAGACATATTGCAATGATGGCCGTCATGTTATTGCAAGTCTTGGCCTCGCTACTTTCATCTCTATCCACCGATTTGCCAATGGCAAATGACAACGATACCGATGATACCAAGAACATACGGGTCAGCCTTGTCACGATGCTTGCCTTTTGGAGGTTTGTTCTGGGTGTGGGCTGTGGTGGAGTGTACCCTCTGGCAGCCACCCTGACTGCGGAATCCAGCAACGACGGCGAGTCGGCCAAAGCAAGACGTGTAGCTCTGGCATTTTCCTTTCAGGGTGTAGGCTACTTGACGGTCCCCGTCGTCGCCTTGATGATTGTTTGGCTGCTAGGAGAGGCATCAGATCTTGCCTGGAGACTCTTGTTAGGGTTGGGTGCCGTACCGGGCATCGTTCTGACCTTTACTAGGGTCCGCAACAATGTCTTGCACAACAATGTTCGCAAGAGCACACCCGATATCACCAAGCTTGCGCAACACGGAACCACACGAACTCCATCTGTGTTGGACGCGATAAGTCAAGAGCCACAGCTGTGGCGCAAAATGTTAGGCACTGCAGGATGCTGGCTTCTGTTTGACATTGCGTACTACGGGAACATCATGTTTCAACCAATCGTATTGGCATGTGCATTTGGTGAAGAGGAGGAAACTGCTGGGCATGCAGCTCGCGACAGTGCTCTCATTGCCGCTCTCGCTTTGCCCGGATACTTTATGAGTTACTGCATGGTCAACAGACAGTCTCCACGATTCATCCAGATTCAGGGATTCTTGGTCATGGCCGTCCTCTATGCTTGCATTGCCGCCTACTTTGAACAAATGAGCAAGAATCGCTTCGTTCTTCTAGGCTTCTACGGGGCAACATTCTTCTCGTGCAATTACGGTCCAAATTCGACGACATTCATGCTCCCGGCCATAACCTATTCCAAAGAATGTCGATCGACTTTAAACGGTGTCTGCGCTGCCAGTGGCAAGGTTGGGGCCTTGCTCGGGTCCATTGTCTTTGCCAGGGCAGTGCAACGTTTTGGGCAGGCGGCTGTCTTTGCCTCGTGTGCCTGGCTCAGCGTCATTGGTGCTCTCGTGACGTTTGTGTGCGTGCAACCTCCCAATGATGACATCATTGGACCGGACGAGATCATTGGTGCGCTGGAACGAGGCAAGCCCGTACCCGGAACTCCTGTCCTCAACAAAAAGAAGAAGATTCCCTCTGTCTACAGTCTGCCATCCATCTTTGACTTTTATGAGGTGGCTATACGCAGTGGCAACGGCAATGCCGACAATAGCCGAGAAAAGATTCATGTCGTCTCATCCTGATTGTACATTGGTCAGGCCATCAGGGAGCCCTGCTTTGATACTGCTGCATTCTGTATAGCCTACCGGTAAGCGACAGCATCTGAGTTCGGTCGTGATGGTGTCTTTCGTGTCCTTGAAAAGGCGAATCGGCCAAAACAATGACATCTCACGGCTGCGCCAACCATACAGAGATGACCATGGTCACGAACCAACCTCGGATGTCAACTACATCTATACAGTTAAGTTTCAGTATCTATAGTTTGTTCAAATGATGTAGTGCATCAGAAGCTGCCTCTCCTCGGGCCTCGTAGAGGAAATCACGCAACAGAAGGCGCAGGTCGTTCATTGTGTTTCTGCAAAACTACTTCTTTCCTTGTGCCTTCTTCAAGTAGTCAGAAGATGCAAGGGCTGCGTCAATTGCACAAGGATTCCCAGCATAGATTGTGGTTCGCTTCTCGGCTTGTCGATTGGTGTAGTAATAATTCTTCACGCAGTAACCTAGAACTCTCAGAATGATGATCAGCCACATGACTTTGGGGAAAGCCTTGCTTGCCAGTTGAGGGAGTGTCGCGGCATTCTCAATGGCAGCACTCAACGGAGAAAGCTGCATTTCTGACCACGGAGTTGCCGAATTCCACTTGAAGATGGGCTTCATGCCTCGAAAGTTGGCCATACCGTGCACAATGACAGCAGGTGCCAGAATCCACCAAGTGGGTGTCTCCGCACCCAACACGTCCCGTTTGGCCAGACGCAATGCTGTCATGGTCCCGCAAAGCTCTTGGATGGGAAAGATTCCTCGACAGAGCGCATAAAAGCTCTTGTCCGCGTGTTGTGGCTTTGTGTACATGAGTACACGTCGTCCAGCATCTGCTAGCTTGAGTCCAATGCTCACTGCCAACATTTGTGTCACGTACTTGTTGACATTGGTCACCTCTTTCTTTCCGGGCGGTGGAATAACCTTTTCACGTTTCCGTCCCTTTTTGCGCTTTGTCGTGGTAGTAGTCTTCTTGGTGGTCCAAGCATAGTTTTTTGGCAACCGCGTCGTCCACTGCAACAGTTTCAGTTTGATGTACTCTTCGAGGATTGGACACGCCACACAGCTCGTGAGAAAATCTGCAGCCAACAGCGTGATTCGTTTGGGTCGGTACTTGTTTTCTCGAAGAGCCCATGGCAAGACAAGGAGAGGGATCTTGGGCAAAAGAGCAAATATATCCTGTTCCCAAATATAAAAGACGACAAGACGGACCAATGTGGTCACAAAGATTTCCAACCCAAACACCCATAGGTAACCCATGGAAAAGGACGCATATAGCGATTGAATGGTCTCATTGATGTCATTCTCTGTAGCATCACAGACAGAAAAGAAGGAAATGACTGGGGCAATAAAGGTCAAGGAAGCAATTCGCATATTGCGAAAGAACTGCTGATTGTATTCCATGGGAGGCAACGTCCTGGGCGACACGGCTCCGTAGCAAGCCGTCGTGGCAGCTACGGCCATTAGCACTAGCTTTTGCATGGAATCAAAATTGATGCGTGACATTGTCATTATTTGGGACTGCTGCTGCTGCTGCTGTTCGGGTGGTGTTTGAACGGAAATGGTGACGGTTGTGGAGGGTGTAATGATGGCTGGTGATGGTAGCATCGTGGTTGTTGTTGTTTTCTGCTTTGGTGCAGCCCCGTTGGATTTTGGTTGTGTCGCCATGGATGAGGTCTGCTTTGGTGTCGTTTCTGTGGTACTAGTAGCTGGATTGGTCTGCTGGGCTGGTGGTGGTGCTTGCTGCATATGATTATTCCTTGCTGGAGACGCTGACGTTGTTGTGGTCGTCGTTGGTTTTCCCGCAATAGAGGGCGGTGGTGGTCGTGCCAATGAATTGGGTGGTGCCATCCCATAGGGCATGGGTGGCGCATATCCCATGGCAGCTGCCCAAGCAGCAAAATGTTGCTGTTGCGAATAATATTGTTGCGGTCGAGGGTCACTTTGTTGTTGCTGTGGCGGTGGATACGGGTACGGAGGAGGGTAGTAAGGATACGGAGGAGGAGGCATACCTTGATATGGATGTTGTTGTTGTTGTTGTTGTTGTTGTTGCTGCTGTGATGCGTACTGCTGCTGTTGAATTTGCTGCTGCTGATTGTATATTTCTCTCGGATACGGGAGCATGTAGTACTGCTGAGGAGGTGGATATTCCGGTCGAAGAGGAACAACCCCTTGCTGCTGTGGCACCATATTCTGAGGCTGTGAGGGAGGATATGATTCTTGTTGTTTTTGCTGCTGCTGCTGTGCTTCTTGGTACTGTGGTTGTTGCTGTTGTTGTGGTGGTTGTTGCCAAGCCATGTGTTGTTGTTGTTGTGGCTGTTGTTGAGGGGGTGGTGGTAGAGGTGTGGGTTGCTGCTCTTCCGCATCGGACTCTGCTTCTCCATCACTGAGATAGATTGGCAAATTTGGGAGGGTATATCCGAGGCCATCATCATTATCGGAAACGTCATCATCCGAGCTTGGTGGTGAGTGATGCTGCTGCTGTCGGAACCGTTGCTGTTGCCGTTTGTATTTGGATCGATCCGCACTGGTCCATAGACGTTGTTGTTCGGCTGTTGTTGCAGATAATTGTGGTTCAGCAGCAGTGGATTGAGATTCTCCAGTGTTGGTGGATTGTGGATCAGTAGTACTGGTAGTAGTAGTGGAAGAATGATGTAAACCGTAGTGGTCTGGTTTGGAAGTCATGTAATCGGTATCATCCAACATTTGACGCAATTTTTCGAGAGTTTTCAACGGCTGAGATTGATGATGAGGATGTGTTCGAGGATCTGCGGGATTATTGTTTCCTTGCGGTTTGTTTTTTGTTTTCTTTACCACTTTGTGGTTGTTTTTACCAGTACTAGTAGAAGCATATTCCAATGGAATCCATGTTTCGTAGAACTCTTCCTCATCCTCACTGCTACTGGATTCTTCGTCATCGTCGCCATCGTCTCCGGTATTGTCGTAGTATGATGTTTCTGTCCAAAAGACGGGAGGAGGTGGTGGGGTCACAAAATGGTTCGTATTGCGGTTGGTGCCAGTACCAGTAGGGCTGCTGCTTCCACCAGTCTTGTCACCGTGAACCATCACCATGGTAGTCGTCGCCTGCATGACGGCAGCATAGCAAACTAACCTCATGATCCATGGCTGGTCTGGTCGTCGTCGATGATGGACAGGGCTCGTGGGGCGTCGTTGTCGCTTGCGAATTCTTCTGCTGCTTAACAACAAGCCAGAGTCTCCCTCACGAAGATTGCAAGCAGAGTCCATCATTAAATTATCAATCTTCTCTCTTGATTATTGATCAGTCGACTCGACTCCAATACGGTAGCTAGTACGGTCTAGCTAGTTCCTCATTCGATTCGATTCGAGAAGGGTATCCACGAAACAAAGAAGATCAAGGCGTCGACGACGAATTGAATTCCAGAGAGCTCGTCTCTCTTCGCCGATATCGGTTCCGTACGACCTTCGCCGACAACAGAATGGTTTTGTACAAGCAACTTGATATGATGGGTGAAGATTTCTGCGGCTGCAATGTCGATCTTCGGCGTCTGGAAGCCATTACCCTTCCAGGTTGTTCTCGAATTGCGACTTGTAACCTTTTGTGTAGCTGCGCTTACCGTCCGTCAGATTGGACAGAAAAAGTCATTTGACATATTCTGTAAAGCATTATCAAATTTAGCATCTATTTTATAAATAAATGGTTGATTTGGAGTAATTGGTCCCGCCCTTTTTACCTTTTTTGATCACCCCCTGTATCAAGTCAACGGTATCACGAGTACCGTATGACGTCAGTCGGAGGCAAAAACATCGCCGTGTTGTCAGCCGCCAAGGCACAAAAAATAAGCATTGGCACAAAATTATTGCATAAAAAAAACAAATCCATTGAACAACCAAAAGTGTTGAAGGGCAACTAGCAAGAGCAACCATGGTGAAAGCACGCACAGCCCTCGATGAATTGGGAACGGATGGTAGGTATCCTGACCAAATAATAATATATGAATGGTGATGAGACACAATGTGCCTCTCTCTCTCCAGATTGAATTCATGATCTGATTTCTTTCTTTTGCTGAAACTTTCCTTTACCTTGTAGGATCTTTCAAACGCAAGGAATCTGCTTGGAGAAACTGGGTCAGCACAGGTAAGCTCAGAACAGAACAGAACGGAAGTTCATGAAGATAAGATACTTCTTCACGGATTGCAGTGATCGATGTGCCTTGCTGATGATTCTTCTTTCTTGATATCGTTATTGTTCATGGTTGAAAGACGAAGGAGCCGAGTATCCACCCGAAGCGGACCGCTACCACCTCTTTGTGGCGGCGGCTTGTCCATGGGCCCACCGTACGTTGATGGCCCGGCACTTGAAAGGGTTGGAAGATATCATTTCCGTCACGGTCGTTCATCCCACTTGGCGCAAAACCAAACCAGACGATGAGGAAGACAAACATTGCGGATGGGTCTTTGCTGCCGATGCCGACAGTAAGGAGACATATAAAAACACAGAGGGACTTGGAGGTCCTTTTACAGCAGCGCTCGAGGGATGTGAGCCCAATCCACTCTTCACATGCTTTTCCATTCGAGATGTCTATGAAAAAGCCAAGGATACCGAGGGAAAATACACCGTACCCATCTTGTGGGACAAGAAAAAGGAAACCATTGTCTCCAATGAAAGTGCCGAAATCATTCAAGTGAGTTTGTCATCTATATATCTATATATCTATCTATCAATGCAATGCAAATCAATCTACCATGTATCGTCGGTGCTCACCAAATCGACTTCATTGTGGTCTCTTTGTTTAGATGTTCAACTCGGCTTTCAATGGCAAAGGATTGGCCAAAAACCCGGACTTGGACTTGGCGCCCAAAGAGTTGCTGGATGCCATGAAAGAGGCTGACGATTGGATCTATCCCAACATCAACAATGGGGTATACCGGTAAGTGGATTTTTTGGGCTTGGCTGACTACGGAAAATGAAAAGTGCCCGAACCCTTGTACCTTACAAACAAGCAACCTTTTCTTTTTGTTTTTGCCTCCCAGTTGCGGGTTTGCTCAATCCCAGGGGGCCTACGATAAGGCCATTGAGGATTTGACGAATAGCTTTGATCGTCTGGAAGAAATCCTCAAGAAACAACGGTTCATTGCAGGAGATCAAATGACACTCTCGGACATTCGCCTATTTTCCACTCTGCTTCGTTTCGATGAAGTATACGTGGTCTACTTTAAAACCAATACACGTACCGTGACGCATACTCCCACCTTGCTCAATTACTGCCGAGAAATGTATCAAAAAGTGGGGCCCACTGTGAACATGGCACAGATTAAGCAGCACTACTACACCTCGCATCCCAACCTGAACAAGTACAGCATTATTCCCAAGGGAGCCGACTTTGTCAAGCTCTTGGAGGAGCCCCACGATCGGGAATCATTGACCAGCAACAAGAAGCAAAAGGTCTAAACAAGACAACAACAACAACAGAAAGTAGTAACAACAGGTGGATGGAAGGAAAAATAATTGGAATCACGGGAATACAGTACGAGAGGAGAGAACGGCAATCAATGAACAATTCACATGACATGCATTAAATTCTAACGGTAGCAGAACAGAAACAGTTTGGATACATTCTATTGGTTTACTACTCTGCAATCAATCTCAGTATTTATTAGATTAGAGCATTTGTCAGTTCAAAATTGTTGGTGGTCTTTCACTTTCTATAGTTGTTCGTTTCGGAGTCTCTGCGACTCTTCTAGAATGGCTTGTGCTTCCTCTTGCGTGGGTCCTTCGACGTTCTGTCGTCTCTGTGCATCCACATGCATGAGTATTTCCGAGTAGGTTTCTGGAATTACCTTTTCTTTTGGAAAGTCGTCTCCACAAAAGACAAACAGGAGCCTATTGGAGCGCAATGGCACCTTGTCCCGATTGGCTGGGTCTCGCACTTCCACCAATACCAATACCCGACAGGTATTACTGGTGGAATGCACCAGTCGGGCGGTAAATGTGACCATGTCTCCAATGGCAATGGGTTGCAAGAAGATGGCTTCATCAATCCCCAGAGGAACGATGGGCTCTCCTTTGGAGAAGAACGACGCCGTGTATTGCGCTAGCTTTTCCCCTTCTTCCATGATGAATCCCCCAAAGAGTTTGCCGTGTACATTGCGGTTTTCGGGGAAAACGACGGTGGAACTGCGAAAGGTGTAGTCTGCTACTCTGGGTGGATTGTTGTCGGTAGTAGTAGCATTTTCGAGAAGTTGTTGGAGAGCCCGGGCTTGATGGAGTTGGTGTAATTGTTGGAATTCTTCCAGTGTGGGTGGCATGGAAACAGGCGACCGCAACTGCATGGCATGTGCAGCTCTTTCCTTGCGAATTTGGGCATGTTGCTGGGCCAAGGATTGGCGCTGTTCATCGTCTTTGGTTTCCAATACAAGCTCCGGAATCCTTCGTCCCACTTTGCCGAGCGTCTTGCCAGTTTCCGTATCGAGCGCCACCATGATGGTATGACAGACATTGACCAATATTTCTTCTTCATTATTGTCGTTTTGAATGGCATCGGTTCGAATTTCCATGGAGGACGTGCCCACACTGGTCACGTAGGATCTCATTGCAACGTCTTTTTGAATGTTGGTTTTTTGGAATTTTCGGGAATGGTAATGGCCAGCCGTCACCAAAGTGACGTGTTCCCCGTGGATATCCCCACAGTGTCGATATGCCACATCGGCCGTCAAGGCATCGACGGCTTCGTAGAACTTGCCCAGTCGAAACGAGGACCAATTGGAGAAATCCGTCACACTGTTTCGGAGTAGAGCATCGGTTTCCAATGGGTACGTACATTGCAACAGGGCATCTCGCGGAGATTTGGGTGTTTCCAAACTGCTACTTGTGCTGATAATTGTGGCGTTACTGAAAGTGCCCGCTAGTTGTAAGTGATCGGCCATGGGAGACACGGAATGCAAAAAGGGAGCCGATTCTCGCAGGGTAAGATGCTCCAAGTTGTCGGGTTTGGGCAGCTTGGAAGCTCTCACATCATCTTTCCAAACGTTGAACTCGGCCAGGCTCTGGAATTGTCGGACCGTACCATTGGCTGGAAGATGGATCTTCCTTGCTAATAGTCGTTGTACTGCTAGCATGTCTATCAGGTAGTGGTACAGTAGTTGCTGTTGCTCTCCTTTCTTGACTTCTACTTTGGCCTTGCCTTTGAGCTTTGATCGTTCTTGAGAATGGAAGACCTGCATGGAAGATTTTAGATCGAAGGCCGTCGAAAAGAACAGAATGGAGTCAAATGGAGTTGTGACTCAAATCATTCGCGACTTTGGTACGTCAGTGGCGTCAATTCTTCATTGGAGCAAACCGCCGGAAGACCGGCAGAAAAAGACATCACTCGATTGCACCTCTGGTCTCTGATGATACCGGTACCATACCGTACGGTTCGAGAGCAAACAAGCAGAGAAGAAGCCACACTTAGACTACTGTCCAATTTCTGGTTGGAAATTGCCATCCATGGCATACAATAAAGCCAAGCAGACTGAGCATGAGGGTCTCTCACTTGCAGGCTCTTTTTGCCTACTCTTGCTGGTGTGTCGCGAAAGTCGATGGCTTCAGTGCAACTCCAGTCTATCACCACAAGATCAGCAGCCTACCAATTCGTTCTTCGTCGCAGCAACAACAGTGCCCCTTTGTGAATCTAAAGCAAGATTCGCCCGAGACAAAGCATGTGTCGTCCACAGCTGTATCGGCATCTCATGATGGCATCAACGAAGTCCGCGAAGACGAATCAAGGATTCTCCCTGCTTCCATCGTTGTGGGAACTTTGACCGCTGCCATGGGCTTTTTGTATGGACAGGTCCTTTCCAGGACGGTCCACACTGTTTGGAAGACTGTTCCAGCCACTCTGGCAAAACGAGGAACGGTGTTGAATCCTGTCTACTTTATCACGGGCACTTGCACCCTTGGTGGTCTGATCATGGGAATCCTGTCGGCAAAACTCAAGGCAAACTTTACAGTGGCAGACTTTGTGTCGGCTTTTTCCTCTGTTCCTGCCGAAGCTGGGAAATTGCCCCAAAGCCGATCGACCTTGATGCCTCTTTTGCTCCTCTCTCTCGTGACTTCGACCTTTGGTTTCAGTGTGGGGCCAGAGGCACCCATGGTGGTCGCAGGCGCGTTGGTTGGATCTTCGTTGTCGCGCAAATGGTTTGGAATGGGGGAAACCAAAAAGGCAGAGAATCTTGCCTATGCTGGAGCGGCAGGAGCATTGACTGCCTTTATGGGGATCCCGATCGCAGGATCTATCTTTGCGTTGGAACTGACACGGTCATCCGCTGGCTTGTCCACTGGAGCTAAAGAAGCGCTTTCTCCGGCAGTGGCAGCTAGTGTGGCGGCGCTCGTTCTTATTCGGGCTATTCTCATCCCAAATGCTACAGTGGGGGGACATTTTGCCTATGGAACGGTAGGGTCGATCACAGGAAGAACCATGATGATGGTCGCCGTAGGGTCCAGCGTTATCGGGGCTGCTCTTGGTACAGTGTTTCACAAGGCAGTTGCTTTGTTGAAGGGTATCTGTTGGCCTACTTCCAGCAGCAATGAAAAAGGCAACAATGCTTGGAGGCGACAAGTCGTAGTCAAGACTCTGATTGGTCTTGCCGTTGGTCTACTCAGTTCAGCCTATCCACAAACGTTGTTCTGGGGCGAGGGAAGTCTCCAGTGTGTTGTGGACGGACAAAAGACTGCATTTGCCGCCACCAAACATGGCCTTCCCACTTTGTTGACTACCGCAGCCCGGGTCAACCCGTCTCTGCCATTTGAGAGTTCTAAAGCAGCCCTACAAGTGGGTGTGGCAAAATTGGTCGCCATTGCACTAGCTTGCGCGGGAAAATTTCCTGGAGGCATCATCTTTCCACTGTTCTTTGCAGCGGCTCCATTCGCACATGCCTGTAGCCCGCTAGTGGCACCTTCTGTGCTACCCTTGCTGGTCTTATGCACAATGGCAGCAACCCAAGCCTCTGTCACGAGAACTCCTCTCGCAACAGCCTTGATTCTTAGTCTTTCAGCTTCGGCATCCACGGAACTGAGCGTCATGTTGCCCGCCTGTCTGGTCGCATCTTATTTTGGTGTCTATATATCCCAGCTCCTATCCAGGAATTCCTATTTTAAATATTCTTGAATAGTTCATTTACTAAGGATTCGAATTGAACTGAGGAAGTTGAGAGTGGCATTGGGCATGAGTTGGGTACAGTGCAATCAACGCATGAGTGCAGCCGAACCTGCTGCAGAGAGTCAAACATGTCGGCTACAAATCAATGAGCGCTGTGTAACTAGCTAGTAGCCAGACTACCAGAATAGTGGCTATTGACTGTCACTCGTGGTTGCAAAGTGCAAGGGACAGAGACGAGCCCTCGACTGACTAACTAGTTAACTACATGTACCGGTATGTGATGGTTAGAGTCAGGTTCGATCATCGTACCGGTACCGGTACTGATGAGCGAGTGGATTGAATAGAATAGATCTCTAGCTAGCTAGCTAGCTAGTAGAATAGAATCGAATCACTTCGACATCGACATCTAATGCATGGAAAAGAACAGAATGGAGTCAAATGGAGCCGCGTGACTCAAATCATTCGCGACTACTGTACGTCATTCTCGGAGACTTCATGTTTTCATTGGACGGAGCAAAAACCTCATCTACCGGCACCATGATGGTGAAGGGGGGGTTAGAGTAGGGAAATTATCTATGATGGTAAATGGTGATGGGATATCCCACCACAAATCAATCCGACATCAGTGGCAGAGGCCGGTATTGGTTACATGTAGTACAAAGCTATAGCAAAAGCCCAATTGACTTCAATCAAAGGTCAACTTAGCAATAGGACTGCGCTTGAATTGAATTGAATCTGAATCTGCCTATAAACTCGTATGATACCATCAAGATGAGAATCCACTCTACAGTTACCTCTTGTACCATGGCTTTGATGATCACAATGTTGTTTTTGTCGGTGGAGAGCTCCGTATCCTTGTCGGCACGGCCTCTGCCATGCATTTCCAGAGTTTCGTCGTGGAGCATCCATTCCGGTAGATACCGGTATGACCACTCCAAGTATTCAAAGACATGCTCTCGGCTGAACGCTGCAGCCAACGACGAAAATGACAGTAGCAACGAAGAAGAGAACATCAATCTGGACCCTTCATCATCCATGGAAGAATTGCAAAATCAGCCATCACAGCCCGCCTCTCCAAAATCAACGACATCTTCCTCATCATCAGAAAAACCTCAAGCATCCAAACGAAAAATGCTAAGCTTTGCCATTCCAGCTTTGGGAATCTTTCTCTGCAATCCACTCTTGTCCAATATTGACAATGCCTTTGTGGGAAAAACGGTTGGAACGCAAGGCTTGGCGGCCTTGTCGCCTGCTACAATCTGCACAGATCAAATGCTCTACCTATTTTCGTTTCTGGGACGAGCTACCACGGGGCTCGTCTCGAGAGCCTACAAATATGACGACGAAACGGGACAAGGGGACAAGCAAGCCGCGCGAGAAGCAGCATCCTCTCCCTTGTCCGTGGCACTAATTGCCGGCGTCATTGTCACCACCATTTATGCATTCTTCACCCAGCAAATGCTATCGGCAATCAATATTGCTCCCTCACTTCGGGCCCCGGCAGCATCGTATATTCGATGGAGGGGTGCCATTGCGTGGGCAGCCATGGCACAAAATGTGATACTCAACATTTTGCTTGCCTCGAGAGATGCTATAACGCCACTCAAAATTGTCTTGTTGGCAGCCGTTGTCAATGTCGTGGGGGATGCTCTCTGTTGTGTTTGGCCCCTGCAAATGGGATGTGGTGGAGCCGCTGCCGCTACGGCATTTGCCACACTCTTTAGTTCCTTCTTCATGATCCGATCCTTGAAGCGCAAGGAGCTGTTACCACGGCTCAAGATACCCACCAAACAACAATTATTGGGACTGTTGGAATTCACGGGACCACTCTTGGCCATCACCTTGACACGACTATTGGGCGCCATCAATATGCAGAGAGCTGCTAGTCGGCTGGGAGTCAACCATCTGGCTGCTTACCAAATGAGTATCAACATCATGTTCCTCTTCATGCTGTTTGGAGAACCCCTTAGTCAACTAAGCCAAACACAGCTGCCTGCCTTGGTCGATGACAAGACCAAGCCGCGAGGACCTTTGATACAGGCCACATTGAAATCAATATTGACATTGGGAGCCATGACAGCCGTGGCGATGGGGGGTATCGCAGCGTTATTGCTAAGATTTGGTTCGGGATTGTTTTCGTCCGATGCGGCCGTCCAACAGTTGGCCAACGGAGTAGCACCATCTTTGTTTCTGGCAGTGGCTACTGGAATCTTTACAGGTGAGTGTTGAGGATTGCGGCAAGCTGCAATGCAATGGTGTTACTTTTGACCGACATGAGAAACTTATGTCAAGATTATTTATTGTGCCCCATGTACTCTCCAGTGGCCGTGGATGGATCGATGTTGGCATCTCGGGACTTTGGTTTCATGCTGTTCCAGGGCACGTTGTCACTTCTCGTACAGTGGAAACTGCTCCTTTCTCCTTGGTGCTCGTCTGTATCAGCGGTCTTTGCTACATTTACGCTTCGATTAGGAACATACGCACTATTTGCGGTGATAAGAGTGGCACTTGGACGTGGTCCCTTGGGGAAAGCTCTGAGAAGAAGAAATATGGACGATGTCATGATCAATGGAGATGAGATCAACGGGGCCAGCAGTGCTGCAGCTGCATAGATACCAGTAGCCGTTGTATGGTGCTAAACTATAGCACAATACGGCATCCCAATACAAAGATAGCCAGTAGGACTGTGATTTGGACAGCACTTTTGCTTTCCTTGCTCCGTACTCCATGGCAAAAATGCGGACAGATGCAAAAATGAGGAAAACCTCTGGAACACCTTGGATACACACTTGAATTTGCTACTTAACGTCCCTAGGAGCATGGCTGGAGGATGATTTTGTGATCAAAAAGCAACCAACTTCTGGTTACCAGATCTCAGTCAATATCCAACCAGTTGACCTAGTTGTTGAATGTTATTTGTCAGCAATAATGTTGTTTTGAATGACAGTGTCTTACTTTGTTGAGATAGTGTAGTTGATAGTGTCATATTGGGTGTTTACTGGAAGGGGTCATTTTTGCACCAAATATTTCTAAATGTAAGGGTGTATATAGTGCTGTTTAGCTTAATGTCAAGGTGTAAAGGATGACTGATCTTCACTCTACTGGTTGATGTTGGGTTGCCCAGTGTCTTAACGATGTATCCCACAGTCCGGCGCGCATGGGCAAACAACACGAAAAATCGAGCCAAATCGCCTATCAAGATGGTGCTTCTTGCACCTCTTCTGGGTCTTTTCGGCGATAGCAACCATAAACAAACTTGTTGGGAAAATAGTAAAGAAGGTGAAGAGACTTAACCTGCCACTCATAGGTGCTCAGGAAGGCTTAAACAGCCGTATCGCTGATTCTTTTCCACCCTGTTATCTCTAAGCCTCTGGCGCTCCAAAGGTGGCAGGATAAGCGGCGATGCCACCGATAGACTTATAGAAAGGGCTCACAGCAAAGTCAAGCTGTCGAAAGGGAGTTAACAGTGTCAACAAAGAGGTCATGCAGCGCCATTTTCACTCGATTTTTCGTGTTGTTTGCCAATGCGCGCCGGACGGTAGGATACATCGTTAAAAAAACTAAGTAGTAAATGAGGACTGTCCACATTTGCGCTCCCGAGCGTGGATCCAGGAGTCAATGGCTGTTCATGACTGGACTGACTCAAGCTCGGCTCGATCTTTTGTCGTCCACGCTCTATCCAAGTCTGAAAATGATCTTGTAACGGCAAAACGAAGAAGCAGCGACACTCGTCAAGTTGCTTGGGCCATCTTCTTCCTCTTTCGATGCCACGATATCCAACCCAAGCCATGTTCTTTCTCGTTTGGTATATCTTCCCTCTGTCTCTTGTCCGTCTCAACACAATCTCTTTGGCGGTATCTTCCTTTGACGAGAAGTATGGCGTCAGGCATTCAAGAAGCAACCATGATGGTGCACCGACACCTGCAGCACGCCAAACTGGGCCTTGTCAAATCAGACGAAGAAGAAGGGTCCGTAAAGGATCCGTCCCTCTTGTTTCCTTATGTCGTCTCCATAATCGTGTGCGTCAGTCTGGCAGTGTACGCGTTGCATTATCTGCATTCCTACATTTGCAGAAACATCTTTGGTCGCGAACCACCCTTTGACCCCATAGAAGGAGAACAAGTCTTGGCCAATTTGACCGAAGACCAACGAAAGGCGGTAACGCACGCCCTATTGTCGAAGTACTGCAAGTCTGCCGCGAACTTTGAACAGGACAGTGGCAAGAGCAAGGGCAACAACGCTGGCACTGTGAAGGAAACAAGCAAGGAAGAAGCGACAGCCGCGTCTGTGGAAAGACGTTCTGATTCTGACCCGACAAGGGATGCTGCATCTGCGTCCATTCAAGCCCGGCAAGACCAAGAGACGAACAACGGAAACGAATCACATGACGTGGAACAAGGCACGAAAATCCTTACGAACGATGCGCCTCAAAAAGAGGAAGAAGGAATGGGAGAGAAAGATCAGACAAGCCAGAGTGACACCAACAACGACGACCGCGAATGCCCCATCTGCCTCGGCAACTTTCTGGAAGGTGATGTGCTTGTTGAGTCCAACAAATGCAGGCATGTTTGCCACGTCAATTGTATATCGGAATGGTTGTCCAATGGTCATGACAACTGTCCTGTTTGTCGTGTTCAAATGATAACGAAGGAGGACCTAATGAGAGCTGCTTGGACCTTGGTCAAGAAGCCCACGAATGGCAATGATGATCGTGAGAAAAGTGCAGAGCATCATGCCTAAGGGAAGAACCTACCAGCGTGCTGCAAGCACGCATGCTGACTTTGATTGGGTGTGGAATAGTGAGAGAGGGCCTTCCCTCTCGATTGTAGAAATATGCATGCATAACAGGACAAACTCTGTTTTGGTGATCATAAGTAAGTTTGCAAAAGAAAGATTCGAGTTTTCAAGGCTCAGTCTTAATAATCAAATAGTGAAATCGAATGTCCTCAGAATGACAGCAATAGAACCTATTATCGCGACAAGGATTCGATTCCTTCGAGTGATTGGACGTATCACCCCGCTGCCAGACAGAACGGCACTTGGAAGACCACTGGAGGTGGCTGAAGGAGGCTCTTCAGCATCGGGTGACAAAGGCCCCACGCGCCAATCTATATTGGGTGCCGGTACCGCGGTGTGCTGCTTGGACCCTTTCCAAGCGTGACACCGTCGCTCTCTTGAACTTTTTCGTGCATTCAAATTGGAATTCTGCTCCAAGATGAAGAGGCACCAGACGCTTCGTTTCGAAAAGTGTTCGTTCTGGCCGGAAGTCATCACGCTGCTTGGCTCGAGCCTGGATTATCTCTCTCGAACTCTCTCTCTTCCTATCTCCCCCCTCTTTAGTCAAATCACCCCTCTCACCTCACAAGGGCTTCCGCTTCCACGGATACTGTGGTACAATGAAGAGCCCTATCCAGACCTCCAATCTCTCCCGGTACGACCGCCTCAATCCCCACCCTTCTTCCACCAAGCAACTGTTTAGCAATAACTTTGAAGAGGAAAGTCTTGTCATAGACTGCGAGAAGTGCAACGATTTGCGCTGTGAGCATCCCAGTCGAATTCTCCCTCCTCCAGGTGCAAAAATCACTTTGTGGACGCGGCTCATGCATGCCGGTCTTCCAATGAAGCAAACGGTGCGAAGATTCCTTCCGCATGAGCAGCAAACCCTTCATCTATTTCGATAGTTGCAATCGGTGCAATCGGTGCGGCAAGTGTTTTGAATGTTGCAAACAGGCCTTTGAGTTTGGCGCTGGGATGTGCCAGATCTGCAAAACGTGGTCCTGTGGTTGCTTTTGGCCCTTATCCAGCTGACCATGAAGAGTTCGATCGCAACATGCATGCTGATTATTAAACTTCTCTCTGAGTTGCACACCGCTGCACCAACTTTGGCTCTCCAGGGTTCAACGACAGTAAACATCTCCGTAAAGTATACAGGACATTACAGTATCTTAAAATTTCAATTAGTCTGCATCGCTATCCATCGCATGGCTCGAGTTTTGCTACTTGAAGAAGTGGCGGTCGGGGCTTTGTGCGGCTGGACTCGACGAAGACGTCGTGTTTGAGCTCACAGATATTACGCCAGCAGCACCGTTGGTGCTCGCACTTTCTAGCTGATGTTGCCAGTCGCTCAGCTGGGACTCCAAGGCATCACACTCCTGAAGACGTTCCAAAAGACGCTGCCTTTCTCGGCTCATCTGTTCCTCCTTCTTTTGCAGTTGGCGGGCCATTTGTTGGACACGGGAATGAGCGCTTTGATACTGCTCGTACTCAGCCGAAAGGGAAGCTTGTTTCTCCTCGATATCGGATTCCTTTCGTCGTAGTTGCTGTGCCAGAGTTCGAATACGCCTTTGCTTTTCGTCAGCCTCCTCTGCAGCTTCATCGATTTCTTTCTTTCTATCTCCCAGCGCCGCTTCAAGCTCCTTCAAAGATGCTTCCTTCTCTTTGAGTTTCGCTTCGCGTTCCGTCAGCATGTCCGCGGTTTCCTCCATTAATCGCCGCTCTTCTTCCAACGCGTCATCCAAAACCTGGGACGACTTCTGTTCGTACAGAGAGTAAACTTTCCCATTCGAGTTGTTCTTTTTGACGACCTTCTCGCGATCATCAAGCTCTTGTCCTCGTCGATGCAGAAACTTGTCAAGTGTTGCCATAGCTTCTCGATCTTTTCGGATCTGTTCCCGTTCACTGTTGATTTCTTCGCGCTGCTTAAGAACAGTAAGCTTCTCCTTCTCCATCTGCGAGATCCGATGTGCAAGCTTAGACTCGGCTTGCTTGTGCATTTCTGCTTTGTCAAGGATTTCCTGGCGGCTCTTCTGCAACATATCCTGCATCTCGGAGAGCTCCAACTCGCGCTGGTGCCACTGCTTCCGAAGTTCGTCGTACTCCTCCTTGCTGGGGCGTCTCTTGTCTTCATCGCTCTGCTCCAATTCAAACATAGTTACCCGGACCCATTTCGAGAAAGCAGCGCTAACAATTTCCCGTTCTTCGTGTCGCCGCCTTCCCACAAGCATCCGAAGTGCTTCTTTTTGCTTTTCGTGCCGGAAACGAGAAATGGCAGCCTGATTTTCTTCTGATCGGCGATCCAACTCGTACTCCCGTTCTACAAGAGATTCCTCCTAGAGACAAGTGTTATTGAGGTGACTGTCAACCACGGCAAGAAAAAACACGAGCTGCACATACCTTTGCTTTGAGATCTCGTACACAATCACGGCACTCGCGGGCGGATTGCTGGACTGTCTTTTCGCGTTCATCGATTTCTTCTTCCCGGTTCTCTAGAGACAAGGCATGTTTCTCCAAACGTTTCATGAGCGCTCGAAGTTTTTCTTCCTCTTCCTGCTGATTCAATTCTGCCTCCATGGCCTCGCGTTTGTGTTGGCGGAGTCTGTGCTCGGCCTGTCTTGCTTCTTTTTGTGCCTTGTCCAGCTCTTCATCGTGTAATCGTTCAACGTCCTGAAGATCGCTTTCCAATTGTTGCAATGTCTGGGCAAGACTGTCGCGTTCGCGCTGAAGACTGTCACGTTCCTTCTGCAAAGCGTGTTTCTCCTCCATCAAAGCCTGCAGCTGCTTTGGAAGTTCGACAGTTGCAGCCCGTTCCAGGTCCTTGCTCTTCTCCCGATCTTGAAGAAGGGTTTTATGCTCAGCCACGAGTTTTTCATGGGAGCGTTGCAGTGCAGTCTTTTGTTCCATTAGCCGTTCGATCTTGCCGACAACCTCATCCAAGCGCTTCGTCGCCTCTTCCTCGTGCTGCGATAGATCTGAAACAGCCTGGTCACGCTCCTCCTTTATTTGATCAAGCTCCTTCTCCAGCGAGCGTTGTTGCATTTCCAGTGCTTCCATTTTGAAGGAGATCGATTCTTTCGTTTGTTGCTGCTCCTGCATCAAGTTCGCCTTGTCCGACTCCAACTCTTCATACTCTCGCAACAGCCTTTCGTATCGCTCGTGAGTCTGTTCGTGCTTGGCCAGTGTTTGCTGCAAGTCGTTGGTTTGCTGAGCAAGGGAATTTCGCTCCGACGAAGCCGTCTCGAACTGCGCCATGAGCTTTCTGTAATCTTGAACGAGCTTGTCGTGACGTTTTTGTTTTGTCGTGAGATTGGCAAGCTCCTCCTTTAGATCATCAAGTCTCCGTTTCCACCCATCGCGCTCGATGGTTACTTGTCGCAGTTTATCTTGCAGATTCAAGTGCTCCTCGGACAGCAGGGTGTATCGAGAATGGTCTTCGTCGTGCATCTTAGCTTGTTGCTTCAATTCGTCTAAGCGAGTCGTCAATACGTCCCGCTCGGACGATAGAGTCTTTATCTCTTCTTCCAGTAAGTGTTCTTGCTGTCTCTTTTGGGCTTCTTGCTCTTGTAGAGCTTTTTCAAGAAGGTCGCGCTCCTGGCGGAGCTCATTAACTTGATCTTGCAAGGAGGCGTCGTTCGTCTTGAGTTGATCTTGTAGCTCCTTCTCGCGAGCACTAAATTCGCTTCGCAAGAGTTGCATATGCTCTGAAATGCTCGTCTTTTCCTTTTCCGACGCATCAATCTTCTGCTGAAGGGCATTGATCATGTTTCTGTATTCCGTGTGCCTCTCTTCAAGCTGAGCCTGAACTTGCTTGAAGTGTTGCTGAGCCTGCGCAACCTCACCACTGGCGTTCTTTTGCAGCTGCTCATGGGCTTGGTGCAACGAAGAATAGTCATGTTTCAACCCTTCTGCTTTCATTTGCAGCTCCTCGTGGGCTTTCTGCAACACCGTGTGGTCGCGTCTCATTTCTTCTGCTTTCTTCAGCAATTGATCATGAATTTGCTGCAACGCGCCGTGCTCATGTGTCATGGTTTCGGTCTTTTTGAGCAGTTGCTCATGATTTTGCTGCAAAGCGCCGTAGTCCCGTTTAACGGATTCTGCTTCCTTTTGCAACGGCTCGTGGGCTGCCCTTAGCTGCATGTGTTCACGGCCCATTGCTTCGGCCTTTCTCTGCAGCTCTGAATGTGCTTGCTGCAACTGAGCATGCTCCCGCTTCGTTGCATCCAGCTGGGTTTCAACAACGTTCCTCTCTGCTCTCCAGGCCTTCTGCGCGGAACTCTTCTCTTGCTGGAACTGCGCCATGAGGTTTTCCTCATGTTGCTTGACCTCCTCGCCAAGGGATCGGTGCTTCTGTACCATCTCCTCTTGCATTTCCTCAAGTGCCTTCTTTTCTTGTTGCAGTGTGTCGATTTCAAGCTGCAGGTCCTTTTGGACTTCCCACAGCTTCTCTTTCAGGCTATCGCGTTCTTGTAGTAAGCGATCAAAGGCATCCTGCAGTCGGCCCGATGTTACCGAGCTGGGACTGGCAGGTATGCTCATCGAGTGATGGAGTTGCAACTTGGACTGATTCCTCCGCTTGTGATTCTGACTATTCAGCTCTTCAGCAACTGAGTCGCGCTCACGTAATAGCTGTTCCTTTTCACGCATGAATTTATGCTTCTCGGATTCGAAGGCGTCGACTTGAAAAGAAAACTGCGTCTGCTGTTCCTGAATCGTGTCGATAAGTTTCGAGCGTTCATGCAACATTTTGTCATGGGCTTGCTGCAACGTAGTGTCGGCTGCTTGTTTGGAAAGGCGTTCCAACAGTTGCTCTTGATCATCCGAAATTTCCTGGAACTGTTGTTGCCATCGATCGCGTTCTCGGCAAACAGAGGCATGCAAGTTTCGCTGTTCTTCCAGTTGTTGCTTCAGCTCCTCGACCTCACGACGCAACTTTTCTTGAGATGCCTCCAAACCGTTCTTTTCTGATTTGATTGTCGTCGTCTCTAGTTGAGCACTGTGCAAAAGCATTTGCAGGCGGGTAACTTCTGTGTTGCGTTCATGCAGCGCTTCGTAGTGGCCTTGCCGTGTGGCATCCATATGCTTGTACATGTAATCCACATGAGCACGGTTTGCCGCCAATTCCGCTTGATCTTGTGTCAGCTTCATCTTGTCTTGCTTGTATTTTTGGAGAAGCGATTGGAGCTTTCGTTGCAATTGCTCCAAAAAGCTGTGCTTTTCGTTGAAGTCTGTGCCAATTGCTGCATGCTTTGCGTTCCATTTTTCGCCAAACGAAGCAAACTCCTCCAGACAACGCGAATGTTGTTCCTCGATTTGTCGTTCCCTCTCCTCCAAGGCCGCTTGTTGTCGTTCAAGCTGAACGTTCCATTCCTGTTGTCGCCGTTGGATTTCTTGATTCCATTCGTCTTCCTTAGCTTTCTGAGCGGATATCCACTCTTCTTCCAACTCGTCACAAGCTTGCGACAACTGATCCTTTCGCGTCCTGGCTATTTTCAATTCATCCTGTAGCGTCGCCCATTCGGATTGCCAAGCTTGCCGCTTCTTTGAATGAGCCTTTTCCGTGCGTTGTTGCAGTTGGTGAAGCTCCGTTTTGCAATCCTCTAGCGCTCGCTTGGCAGCGTCGGCTTCATCTTTTAGCCGCTTTGCTTCGGCCTCGAACCGCTTAAGCTCAGCTTTGGTCTTCTCCAAGAGATGCTCTTGATGTTGACGCTGTTGTGTAGTTTCATTGCATACTTGCTCCACGAGCGCCTGCTTTGCCTCCAGGCTGGCATGCCAGTTTTCGTAATCTCGTTTTTGCCGCTCGTATTCCTCTTCATTTTGCCGCAGTGTTAGAGCACGGTCTTCCAATTCCTTTTTCTGCTGTTTCATGGTGTTTTCTTCTACATGCAGTTGTTGAATTGCCTCTTCTAGCTGTCTCGCATCCGTTTGTAGCTGTCGTTGTCGCTCTTTTTCCCCTTGGCTCAGTTTGGCTTGCATCTTTTCGTATGCCCGTTCCCATTGTTGTTCGTAGTGCTCCTCTTGTTCCTTTTCAAACTGAGCTTCCCATTCGAGGCGTTCTTGTTGCCAGGACACCCACTGCGTCTCTAGCTTTGCCTTGGAGGCTTCGGATTCCCGCAACCGTCGCTCCAATAGAATCTTTTCCTCTTGCCATTCAGAAGATTCTTGTGAATACTTTTGCTCCAGCGCTATGAGCCGATTTGCCAATTGTTGCTTTTGAAACAACTCATGCTGTTGCTGTTGGTGTTTCTGCTGCTGTTGCTGGCTTTTCCACAAGTATTCCGTCTTTCCAGGAGGCGCCGAGCCGCCATCGTGACTATTCCGGTGACTGCCTCCGAAATTAAGCTGACTTTGCTGAGATGGAGGAGGATGTGAATTGGTGGCTACTAATGGAAAATCGCCCAGTCGGATCGGAGCTGCTAGAGTACCACTTTGCTGGGTGTGTCGATTGTTGTGTTCCTGCTCTGGGCTAGTTGTCAATTGGGAGATGGCGGTGTGAGGAGACGTTGCTCCCACGAAAAAAGTATTGACTTCTGGATTGGACGTGGAGATTTTTGGACGGACATTATCTTCGTCATAAGATCCTCCCGGAGGCTCCAATCGGCTTTTCCGTCGATGGCCATTCATGTCTCTGGGTTTGGGGGCACCTGATGAGGTAGTCCTCCGCCTGCGCTCTGGAGAAGGAGGTCCTCCTACGACGGCGTTGGCAGCTGCTGCAGCTCTGGATGCTCGTACCTGGAGAGAAGCATTACTGTACTTCGGAGGCCGCACAGATGAACGTTCATGGAGTAGTTGATCATTTGTGTTGTCGTCCCAACTAATGGCAGTGGAAGCCATGGGAGGTGGAAGCGGTGCCGGTGTGGAGGAGGGTGATTTCCGCAACGGTTTCATCTTCATCTTGTGGCGCTGAAACCCAAAAGGGTCCTCGTTGACAGCTTCTGACGACTCGTCTGATGCAGATGAACCATCATCATTTGCCAATCTGGAATTGACTCTCATGGACTCTTTTCCATGAACAATCGACCTAGCCTTGTCAAGGGCCGACATGGTGCAGGGCCACCGTCACTGCACTGACAGCCTGGCCTTCCCTCTACTATACAATAGGTTTTCCGGTGCTCCTGGAGAAATTAGATGAGCGGCATGGCCATTGCGCCATGGTGGTGGTGTTGTGATTGGTGCTTCCACACGCACAAGCCGTCATGCAGCGAGGCAGGCAGCATTGGCACTTAACAACTGCTCCACGCGAACCTGGCTCGAAAACGGAAAAAAGGTGGGAAGCCCAGTCACGATCTATTGGGGATCGAAAAAAAGCGTTCACGAGCTTCTCGTGATTGAAAGATAGCGGAACGAAGTTTTGAGGCGCCCACAGTCACCTCTCGACACAGTCCAGAGCGGAAGTCACTAGCTAGCTACCGTAGTAACAGCAAAGGAGAATTTTGGTCAGAGAGGTACCGGTACATGCAGCAGGGAACACGAGCATGGAGTCATCGCGTTCAATTTCCCCAGCTCGTTCGTCAACAACACGAAAAGCCTTGTCTGACTTCAACGATGCTACACCGAGCCGCCGTCCAAAGAGCGGCAAACGTCTTTGCACTGCGGAAAGTGAGCATCAGCCAGCACAAGGCGATGCGGCTGTTGACATCAAGAAGGTCGCACGGTGCCCGCTGGGTGAATTTTCGGGCAATACAATTTATCGCAACCGGATAGCTCCATGTGAGAAAAGAGATGATGGACATTACTGCATTGAAGAACTGGTGGTTCCAGACTGCGCATCAGCCCTTTGTACGACGTTCGACGGCGGCCACAACGCAGCATGGATTGAACGCATTTTTCATGGCATTGAAAGGCTTGTCATTGTGACAGGTTCCAAAGATATACCACAAGACGTTGGGGAGGCTGTCTTGCGCAAAATGACAAAAGGAACAAAGGAAGATTCGAAGACGGCAGAGAATGGTGCAACAGACAACCGCACAACAATAAACCCAAACCGTTGGTTCTGGTTGGAGGCCAAGCCCCACACCAAAGGTTGTATGCATTCCAAAGTTTATATTTTCCGTTCCAAGGAGGGACTTCGTGTGATTGTCTCTGGAAACAACCTTACCAGAACTCAGTGGCAGGGGCAGCGAGATGTCTTCTGGGCACAGGATTTCCCCCTGGACACCAGCGACAGGGGGCCTGAGCGAGGCTCTTTTGGATATGATCTGATTCCTTTATTAAGAGACATGACAAAATGTGCCAAAGCAAAACACCAGGCGGTGGTTGACAGCATGATCAAGGCCCTCTTTGAGAGAGTGAACTTTGACGTCAACTTTTGCCGGAAAGAGGCAACGACTGCCCGCTTGGTATACTCGTTTCCACGTCCCAAGGGAAGCATCAAAGATAGAGGCGGATGGAAGAGACTTGCCGAGGTGGTAGGAGCAGTGATCCCCGCGGCCCAGTCCAGCGTCGTCGACCACAACGACCAAGATGACTCCGATGGCTCAGACTCGGATGAAGACGACATACCCCGCCGCGATGACAAAGCAGGATTGTTGTTTGCCACTAGTGGATCGTTGGGAAATCTAGAAGCTGATTTCCTTCTCCAAATGTGTAAAGCCATGAACGGGCAGGCACCGATTGCCAAACGGCCAGCAATTCCAAAGAAACTCGCATGGGCTGAAACAACTCCCAAACAGCCCGTGTGTCCAAAAGAGCCCTCGTGGGATGACGTTCGTGAAAGGGTGCGGTGCTTTTGGCCTGGCAAAGCGACTGCCATTGAGATGGACCTAATGGGTTTGGGAATGCTTCGTGCAATGCAAGAAAAACATTTGAAGGAAGTTTTTTTGGTCGGTTCACAGCGGAAGATTCTGCATGATGCCATTCCGAACCCACCAACCAAGATCCGATCGAGACTATTCCCTGAAAGCGGCCGGGACTTCTATCCTGTAACCCATGGCAAGTTTATGTGGAACGATCGCGCTGGTGGTGGTGTCCTGTATGTTGGATCCCACAACCTTAGTAAAGCAGCATGGGGCTTGAGAAACGCTCAGCCGAAAAACCTTGAGATTGGAGTAGTTCTGGGAACCAGCAGTGCAGCAAAGAAAAGTGAGTGGATAAGTAGATTACCGTGTCGGCTCGTTGCCCCAAATGTTGAGTCTCCGGAGACATTCTCTCCATACACTCGATTCAAGGACATTGCGGATAAGCATCCCGATGCACAGGACCGGCTGGTGAAGCAAGCAATCTGCCTCTACCAAGAAGCTCGAGATCGAGATCTTTTTCCAGGGGATCGTGATTTCTGTTTGGAGGACATACTTTTGGGCAGCCAGGAATTCATTCGCCAGTTTGTCACAGAGGTGAAAGAGGCCATCGCGGAGGAAGCCGCCGAAACCGAGGAGGCAACAAGGATGTAGTGTGGCGCATTGCAGAAGCAAGGAGCAATCCTCTGCTCTGCGGTGGTAGAACATAGATTACAATTGCTAGTGCCGAATTGAACGGGTTTTGCATGTTTTTGCAACGGTGCCTAATAATGTGGTTATAGTGGATTATGTTAGGGAAGCCGGGGCGTGCTCGGTGACTCCACCTTGTAAGTTGTGGGGGAAGGGGTCAAGAGTCAAGAGGTTCCACATGGGAGGCAGCAGCAAAGGTGCCGGCTCATGGGCTGGTTAGGACCCAGAGCAAAAGAAAGTTTTGGATGATGTGGATATGCCAGGTTGTAGGTAGGTGGTTGGCAAGGTGGGTAGACAAACAGTAGACTAGCTAGATCTATTCAGAGGGATAACCGTAGGATTATGTCGGATCACAGCCTGGGAATACTAGTACCCACACAACACACAACACACAACACGGCATACCCCAGCACAACATCATTACCGATATGTGGAACTAGAATATGCATCATGAGGCTAGAAGCAGTGAGGTACGTTACTAGTACATGCAGTTATGCATCAGATACGTTTCAAAATGCTGCATTTTGGCAGTTTTCTATGTAGAACTTTTGCTGAGGTACATTGCAGGACTTGTTCCTTTTGAGACGAATTTCATTATTATTAGCTCTCAAATACACCGCACAAATCATAACAGTCTCTCAGCTAGCTGGCAGCTAGCAAGCCATTAGACAGTACTAATTATAACAGTCTCTTAGCTGCGTGCTCGAACGGGACGCCCGCACAAAGCATCCAAATGCCTTGCAATCTCCAAGCTCGAAGTTGGAGGGGATGATGCGGCACAAAGAGCAGGCACGCTTTGGATCAGACGCCACCGGACCTATCTTGCCATGGATCTCCTGGTGATGGAAGTCCACCAGACTCGTGATCGTCTGCACTCAATTTGATGTGCGATAACGTACCAGGTACCGTACAGTTCTAGCTCGAGACAGACACTGTCCACCAGCAATACCGGCATCACTTCGTAGCTCCCTCAGCTTTGAAGAACTCCGGGTGAAGTTTAATGTAAGCAAACTCAACCCCATTTCCCTATCATGTTCAAGCACAAATAAATATAGATGAGGTAAAATTTACAAGAGTCCAGCGCAGGTCTGGACAAAACAACACTTTCTGCTCTTGACATACCTGTGCCTGTGGATGGATGTTTGGCTCCTTACTGTACATAACAAATCCCGCATTCTCAATGTCATCAAAAAACTGAGAAGGCGACAAATTGGTCGACACAGGAAAGTATCGTCCACCTTTGTTTTGTTGGGGATTTGGTAATGACGTTGGTAGATTGTGTACTTCAATGAGCAATTGCAGAATTTTCAACTCAGGCTTCAACCAATCCTTGTAGGTGAACCATTCACAGAATTCACAATCAATCTTGAGAACATCAATGGTATGGTGAGTGTGACCTAACTTGGCCATCATTTCAGGAAGGGTGTAGAGTCGCTCCAAATCCTTCGGCGGGATATTCCATGCCTTGGGCAAGCTGTCATCATAGCTGCTCTTCAATCCCCATTGATGAAAGTGAATGTTGAGCTCACTGGAATGGCCTGATTTGGTGTAGTCCTTGCTGTAATCAAAAACATGGATTTCACAATTAGTCTGAAGAGTTGTTTGTCCTTCTTTCATCAGGGACTTGGCCAGAGCTTCTTCCCATTCATATTTTCCAGCAGACCCAATCGAATAGATCAGGCAGTTAGCCTGTTGTTGCTTGTTGCTTGTTTGTGCCCCAGCTTGAGTTTTCTCTTTTCTTTCCCTGGCAACTCGTTCCAGTCGATGCGGATCACAAGTCCACTTTGGCCCATCACCCAGCCCTCCTAATCGGCGTTCATGGGGACAAGTAAAAAGAGGATCATAGTGACTCATGTAGTACATTGCTGGTAGCTCATTTGAAGTGGGATCTGGTCTTCTATCATTCATATGGTCTTTGTGAGTTTGAAAGCGTTGTTGGTGTAGCTTCCAATCCTCGGATGAGATGTCATCAAAGAATCCATAGCTTTGGTAGGATGCCAACTGAAAATCACTGGGATCTTGGCTACTCGCAAGGAGCTCGTTTTTCTCTTCGGTGAAAAAAAGAGAAAACGCACAATCTAGGAGCACAACTTGGATAACCAGTGCGCCGAACATTGCAAGCGCCATGATTCGAGCCGTTCTGCTGGCAAAAGTGCCAACGTTCCAAGACAATGGCGTCTGGCTTGTGGTGGCCCTTGTGGAGTTTGATGCAAGGAGCCTCATTGTTTTCTCCCTCTATTCAATCGTTTCGTCGTAGCTGTGGTTTTCTGAGACTGAGTTTGGACATGTAATGCACATCGGAGGGAGGAGATCGAGTGCTGTCAATAATTTGTCACGAAAAACCCATGGCATGTGACCAAAAAAGAGCCCATCGCCAACCCGTCACTGTTAGATTAGCTAGATGGGGTAAATCAGGTAATGTACAGTGTACCGGTAGGTAGGTAAAGCATAATTTACCGCAACTACCGCCACACTGCTTGTCAGTCATCGACCAAATAATCAAAATAATTTGAAGCAGGCACCAGGCCACCTCAAAGGACGTCTGAAACCTATTGGTACGGTACCGGTGACATTCAAGTAGTTCAAATCTCCTCATGGCAAAACGACGGAGCGTCTTTCGTGGCTATCCGTAGCAAGCAAGTGGAGCCTTCTAAAAAGGGGAAGCGCAAGTTATCTATATGGGTTGTTTATTTGACTGGGTATTCTTCGATGCCCAGTGGTTTGATTTTCTTGAGGTCGGATTCGCCACCAGTCGCCCTGCATAGAATTTAGGCATGATGATGTCTCCGAAGCGGTAAAAGCTGCACCTGGGGACCAAGCAAACTATGGAAGCTAAAACCAATAGGCAGCCCGTTGGGATTGCTACGGTAGGAGTTCCACAAAGAAGCGTTAGGGTGCCGGCATTCGGAGCTAAACGGAACCTTGGCAAGGGATTTGCCGTACTTACCAGACATGTTGCACTAGACCCAAACAGGATTCGGGGATGTTTTCGGCACGGACAACTCTTTGCTGTAGTGCCACTTGCCGGGGCTCGTTGTGACTCACAAATCCCTTGCAACGGTACACTTGCAGGTTTGGGCAGTCCAGAGAGAGGTTGATATGTTTGGTGAACCCTTCAACCAGTATCTGCTGCAAAGAAGCTGATTGGATATGATAGACTTCGTCGCCTAGATGCGCGTTCACTGACTCCAAAAAGAGAAATTGTAGATTTCCCAAGTTGCGCACCATCTGGCTAAAGAGCAGCCCATCAAGTCGACAGCTGGGATTGACACTGGCAATGCAGATTCGAAGCGTTTCAATAGATGCAAGGGAGAAGAAATCAGAGCTGATTAAGGCTGGGTCGTCGATTGAAGCTCTGCGTAGATCCAAGTACAGGTGCAGCTCGGCAATTGTCAAATTTGGGCACTGTCTTGCCAATTGGTCGAGAAAGTCTCGTGGTGATAATATGTGAAAAGCCTGACCCTCCTCCCTGTGAAAGCCCGCTCCGTTGTAAAACACGAGAATTTGTAGCTCCTTCAAATTCGATGTATCGCACTCGTTCAAAAGACGAAGTAGATTAGATACTCCATCAGGTGATTCCTTGGTGACATTGCCAGCCTGAGGTAGAAGCCCAGCACACTGTCCAACCCCAACTAGAGATCGGATGCTCAGCTTGCGCTGACAAATCCATGATATGCAGGATTCCACCTTTGCCTGTCTTTGTATTTCATTCCCCGAGAATTTCAGCTGCACATGCACGGGAGTTACAAGCTGGCCCAAGAATGCGTCCATTAACTTCTTCCAGGACCGACAAACGGAGGCAATCTGGGTGTAGTAGCGGCAAGCTTCTAGTAGAGGGAAGCCTTTATCATCTTTTTTCTTGATTTGCTTCTCTGATATGATTTTGGCCGCCTCCTCTTCTGATACCTCCTCTTCGACGAACTCAACACACTCAGTTTTCTTCCTCTTGCCGGTACTGGAACCGGATTCTCCAGATACTGATAGCCGCTGTGATGGTGTCAATCTCCCGCCAACAAAGGAAAAGATGTGCAGAAGAATCTCGTCGTTGAGGACATCGATATCAGCAAGTCTCTCTACCATGGTACACTACTCATCTGTAACAGAAATCAAATTGCAAGGGCTCCAATCTAAGCAAGTTTCCTTCGTCAAGCCGAAGAAAGAAGAAAGAAGTTTTAAAAAAACAAAACGGAATAAATAACTATAAATAAATAATAAATAAATAAATAAATAAAATAAATAAAAATAAATAAATAAAATAAATAAATAATAAAATAAATAAATAAAATAAATAAATAAATAAATAAATAAATTATAAATAAATAAATAAATTAATAAATAAATAAATAATAATAAATAAATAAATAAATAATAAATAAATATAATAATAATAAATAAAATAAATAAATAAATAAATAAATAAATAAATAAATAAATAAATAAATAAAAAAATAAATAAATAAATAAATAAAAAAATAAATAAATAAATAAATAAATAAATAAATAAATAAATAAATAAATAAATAAATATAAAGGGGATTACGTGAAAGGAACGTCATACCGGTGTCCTGGACCGTCCGACGCTTTTCACACAGGATTTAAAAAATTCTTGAAATTGCCACGACTGAATGACCGTTTAAAACAATCCCTTAAACAATCCCTTAACTCATCAACTATCCCTTAAACAATCCCTTAAAGAAACAATCCCTTAAAACAATCCCTTAAATCTTGGACTATCCCCTAAACAATCCCTTAACGCCAAATGGACATACCATACAACTATCCCCTATTTCTTCAACTATCCCCTAAACAATCCCTTAAATAAACAATCCCTTAACAACAATCCTTTAAATCTTTGACTATCCCTTAAACAATCCCTTAAAAGAAACAATCCCTTAATTGTGCTGGTCAAGTTTTTGTCAGTCGTGAAAGCTTTTTAAATCCTGAGTGAAAACCGTTGGACGGTCCTGTAAAGCACTTGATGTATTTAATATTAAAAAGTGGGGGCTCGACTCAGCAAGAAGCTAGCTAGTCTAGTTTTTTATAAGTCAGCGGGAGCTGCGATACCTCGGCAGAAAGACAGATAGAAGAATGATGACATGTTTGAGATTGCACCCTTCTTTCAAAGTAGCCCTGGCGACAACACCCGACTTCGTCGTGTGTTGCCGCCCGGTATCATTCCTTCAATATAACCTTCTTTTTTATTAAAGGTAGCCCTGGCGACACGCCCGCTAACCATAATTTTACAACTGTCACTCCCGTATGTACCTGTAACTTTTATAGCTTCTGCTGGCTTATTGTGTTGAGTGCACTAACCTTGAATAATCATGATTTATTCCTACCCCTAAATTTGTAGAGTTGGCTTGTGCCTATCTCTATCCCTATATTTTAACTTCACCGGAACAGGAAACAGGAAGCAGGAAGCAGGAAATACCAAAAAAGGGGGTGAGGGCTCAGGCAGATAGACTGCCGAGGTAAATAGATATGTAATGCGAGAAAGCCACAGTAGACAGCTGCCACAGTGACCAGCCTTTCCCTGTTGCAGGATGCTAATCTCAGGCAAAGTAGGTCACTGCACAGGCGAATGAGACTTACCTCTACCAGTACATGTAGCGAACGGTACTAGTACCTACTCTAGTCATCATTTCTAACTGTACTAAATGACACCAGCACCACGGTACAACAGCTTTGGACGCCTCTAGAGCCTCCGGGGTGGAGGTGGAGGTGGGGAATGGCCTACTACTCAATTATGGAAGGAACCTTGGCATGATAGAACCACATAGCAAAAAGATGCAAATTGCCCCTCGTCGCTCATTTATGGATGAGCTCCCTTTAGCCTCGAAGAATCTGGGTGTAGCTTTACATAGGCAAACTCAACCCCAGTTTCACTCCGTGTGGCATTCAGAAAGTTAAAGAATGTCAGCAACCTACAAAAAAGCTTGCAACTTATGCCATTCACATACCTGCGCTTGTGGATGAATGTTTGGCTCCTTACTGTACATTGTACATGTAAAGAGGGGAATTAATAGAACACATGTTGCTGAGTAAGCCAAAAAATTCTCATCTTCATAGTGTAATTATTGGGGCAGTTATGGACGGTTGAAGATATCAACCCACTGATGGGCCAATTCTTTTCACCACATATTAAGACCGAATAACGTCACACGTAGCCTCTAGTACTGAGTCTACGTAGGAACCTACTTGACGTCACAGGTAGCCTTTAGTACTGAGGCTACTACACCGCAACTCCTTTTCTTCGGCACCTCCATGGTCCCAAAGCACATCTACGGTATCGGTATGATACGACTATAGAGGTACGAATCCAAAGCACCTCTACCGGTATGGAAGAACCTCTATCAACACCTCTGTACTAGTACACGACGTCGTATCCTCTATCGACTCTCGTTCCTCTATCCACAGCCAGTCAATACTCCTTTCTACACTCCTTCCTCTATTGACAGCGAGCCTCAAGAAGATGGCCAGAGGCAGTGAAGAGATGCTGCCTAAGGAATCCACCAAGGCTAGCTAGACAACCACAGAGATCTAGGATACTACACATCTAAGAAGCGCAATTGTAGGTAATTCTGAAAACGAGACCTCAGGTCTCGTTTGGGAAGCACATCCCAACCTCTCCTTCCGAACCAAGTCCAAGGTTCCAATTAGGCAACCGGTGCGTTGAGACGCAACTCTGCGATTAATAGCCCCCTTGCAGGATCTATTGTTGTGGGAATGCATTCTTCATGGTCTGACACTCCAAAGAGATTGGCGATGTGACTTCTTTTAGATAGACAATGACTTAACGGTTGGTACACCAATGGGCACAAAGGTAACATACCACGTACTGAAGTTGTTTCCCTGCCAGTAGTAGATGTAAAGTACGTCACTTCCAAACCTGAA